CTGACAGTGTCTACCCTGCATTTTTGAGAAAGGAACGCGTGAAGGTGAAGAACGGAGTAATAACGTCGGATCAGTATAGCACTCGGGCAGGTCTTGTTCTACAGTCGACATATTTTCGGGCTTCAGGTTAAAAGAAGAGAGTTCCCATAATCGTACATATGACTTGATTCCTTTTGATTCTTTTTGTATGTTCAATACTCTGATCCTTTGCTAGGTGACTCTTATGCAAGACAGATCTATTACCATATTGCGACTTACAGCGAGAATCAGTCCAAAAACCAAAGCCTCGGCTACTTAGACCACGCGAGGACATGGAATGGCCAAATGCCGACCTGTCTACATGCTGCAAGCAAGTAGCTGCCCACTTAGTCCAAGCCCAACCATTTGAATAGGTGCATTGCCCAAATTCGAGCCGTGATACCAAAAGATAATTAGGACGAACAGGTATTACAAATATCTGAACAGATAGCGAAGCAGAACCCAAGAACCAATGATCTCGACAAGTTCCCAGGACAGACAAGAATCTCATCTCCGACAGATGCAAGCCCAAAACCGAACGTGTCGCATCTCGCGACGTGGGCGCCACCCGACTCCCGCTTGTGTCGTGCAACGGAAAGCTGCAGACAAAAAAGAAAGAAGGGAAAAAGCAAAGAGAGAGAAACTTCGCTCAAGCCCCCGAGAAAATCCCCCGGTTCCGGGACTTTCAACATCTCCACAATCATGCGGTGTTGGTCTGATTCGAAATCTCAAGGTGCAGCTTCGGGCGCATCAGAAGACAAAGGCGAGACCAGTGGACGGGAACTTGCAGTTTTGCGTGGTCAAGTCAAGAAAATGCGGTCAGCATTTTCGTCCTGGGATATCACTGCATATAATCGAAGCCTCGTGTACGGTCAGATATCTTCCTTTATAATGGACCCGGGGTGTTAGTTTGCCGCAGACATTGAAGATCAGCGTGTTACAAGGTTGAAGGGCCGACCGGCTCATACTTTGGGGCTAGGTCGATGTGAAAAACCAACATGAAGGTGGGGTTGGGTGTTGGGAAGATGCCTGTCGAACTGCGTCGACATCGAGAGCGAAAGACCGATCGCACTACCCAAGGCCACGTTGCTCTTCCCGGAAGCAGGGCCCTGAACCCGTAGAGCGAATGTTATCGCTTATATGAATTCAGGGGCTGTGACACGTTGTGTCCTTTGATGCTAACTCATCATCGGCCTTTGGATTTAAACGTGCGATGTCACAACGTACTTTTGAGACATGTCAGATCGAGCCCCGAACTCCGAGCTCCGAGTTTCAAGATAAGAAGTCCCTGGAAGAATGAGATATGACTTGAATGGAGAACAATACCAAGCTGATGTCGAGATAAATGTGAAAGGAAACAAATATTGAAGACAAAGAAAAAAAGAGGGGGTTAGAGTACCCTGGTGTCAACTGCCGTCTGTCATTGGACTCGGACAACGCACAAGCAAAGGCAGCAATTTAGAGCGGATGGCGTCACAAAGATAAAAACAACCTTCCTTCTCGACATTCCAAGATATCTAGGGCGCCCTTTCTTGACCTTTTTTCTAAGACAATCTCACAATCGACACAATGACAGGCGAGACAGAGCCACTATTGGGCGCACACGCGATCAAACCAGCCCAGCATCCAAAGAAACTACTGGTATCCATCGTGTGCGCTATATTCTTGATATGCGCCGATTTCGGATTCTTCATGTCCACCGCGCCGCAGATTGCAGTGTATGAAGATATTATCTGTCGAAACTACCAGGACACTCTTCATAGGGCGGGGAATGAGACTCTGAGTTCGCCAGTGTCCAATCCGTGTAAATCAGAGGCGGTACAGGGAGAATTGGCGCTCGTGATCGGGTACCAAAGTACATTTGATGTGATGCCTGGTAGGTATCCTCCACGATATACTGGACTTGGGGATGCTGATGCTTGAAATACAGGCCTTATACTCTCGCTGCCATATGGCGTGCTGTCGGATCGCTGGGGGCGGAAGCCTCTCTTGTATCTTGGCATACTAGGCATTCTCCTCGGAGAGATCTGGGTTAGGATAGTTTGTAAGTTGTTTGAACTTGTTACTCGATAATTTACTGATCACTTCATCTTAGGTCTGTGGTCAAGTGTCATTCCCCTCCGGATGGTCTGGTTATCAGCTGTGTTTAAAATCATCGGCGGCGGCGACCAAGTCCTCACGGCTATTGCCATGGTCATAGTGGCTGATGTCTTCTCCGACGATGAGAGGTACTGTTATGGCCCGATTCATTGTGATAAAGCTAACAAATATACAGAGCTACTGCGCTCTTCCGTTTACAATCTTGTATCCAAATCGCAGAGATTCTGGCCACTCCCCTTAGTGCTTATCTGATGACCTTCGGTCCAATGTTTCCCTTTATCCTATCACTATGCATCATCACCGTGGGAAGTATCCCACCCTTCTTCCTGCCCGAGACTCTTAGAAACACAAAAGGAAAGCAAATCAGCAGAGAAGGTCTAGAACAGGACAACGAAAGCGAGCAGCCCCAGCCTCCGAGGAAGGCGGCGTTGCAGGAGCTCACCCGACAAGTGCGCGAGTTCGCACAGTCGACACGCTTCATTTGGGCCGATTCCAATGTCTGTCTAATGATCTTTGTGATGTTCGTCACAGTGATGAGTCGACAGTGCACCAATCTGCTTCTGCAATATGTGTCAAAGAAGTTTGACTGGAGTATTAGTCGTGTACGTGCCTGTCCCTCCGGTCGAACCAAAAACTAACCATGCTATAGGCCAGTCTCTTGATCTCATTGCGCGGGATATTTTCTCTCGTGACCTATTTGGTCATAATGCCAATCCTGGCCTTTTTAGCCGCCAAGCACCTGAATCTCCGTGGAAATCGTAGCGACCATTTCCTGAGCAAAGGCAGCGGCGTGCTTTCAATCATTGGATTTGCTATTATCTCTATAGCTCCTACACCCGCTATCTTGGTAGGTGGTCAGGTCATCTTGTCAATCGGATCATCATTCATGGTCACCACACGCAGTCTGGCTACTTCACTCGTACAACCAGACCATGCCGGCACGTTGTATTCGGCAATTGCCATTGCACAGGGCGCAGGAACGCTCCTTTCCGGTCCACTATTTGCCAACCTCTTCCGGTTAGGCATGCATCTTGGACCTGCTTGGATGGGACTGCCGTTCTTCCAAGCCTCTCTCTTTTTCGTTGTTGCTGTCACCGCCGTTTGGCACGTTCGACTTGGACCATCTCCGCGAACCAATGACGAGGAACAGGAACCTTTGTTGTCGTAATTTCCATATTTCTTCAGTCAATTTCATTATATCCAAGCAATTCAACACGTATCCCTTCATGTGGAGAGTTATCGCTGAACCAGGCGAACTGGGTGATTGAGCCTTCATCAATGAGCATCGGAATCACACAGATGATCAACAAGGCCGACAGTTGTAAACCTAAGAACACCATCCAAGCTATCGAAGCAGCCCTCGGCGACGTCAATGATCCGTTAATTGTGATATCCCGCACTACATCTAAAGAATACAGCAGAATTTCATTTATTAATAGACCACTTTGGATGAAACTGTAGAAGAATAAATACGCATACTCTGCTCAGTTTGCATTATCCGATGTATTTCATACTTTTGAATAAACATGATCATTCGACCCCAGGATAACAATAATCTTCATGGGGTACTCCGTAATGACAACAGAGTTTGGTTAGCAAAATATACCATCAAGGTATAATCTCAAGAGGTAGGAGGACACGCAGCAGGCCAGTCGGGACATGGAAACTGGCGCATACAGCTTGACGACGTCATTTGTGGTCGATTCGGGGCCTAAGTCCCACTCGGTATGTCCGCGGCACTGCCGTAGGTCCCGACCCATCATGGGTCTGGTTTGCTTTCGCGGGTGTTCCAGCAAAACCCGTATCCTGACATTTAGTTCTCTTGTCATGAAGTCCTGACTCATCATTGGTCTGGTCTTCTAGCTGGTGCTTCTGACTTGTTCTGGCCTGCGGTCGATATACATCACGTAGAGAGACTTGGGCGGAGGAAAGCCGACGTCGCTGAAGTACAGCTGTCGTAGTTCTTCAAGCAAGTCGCGAGTATTGGGATCCAATTCGTAACGTCTCTGCCTCAGTTGCTGCTGAGACCAAGCCAGATAATGCAGAGCTGTACTTTGATGACGAAGCTTCCATGGTAGGAGATGATGACCGGCGAGGAGGACTGTGGAATTGGAGGGAGTGGCATTCGGTCGCGATCTGTTGTGTGGTCAGTCATGATGGCGCACTCATATAGTGGGATGTAGACTTGCATCAGACCGACACGTTGAAGTTATGGAAGGCGTGATTCATGGAGAAGGCACGAGAGAGCTCAGATGGCTGGTTCACCCGGCCTCTCACTGTCCACGTGGGACATGCCAACATGATGATCAATGGAAGTCAGGCTTTGAGGCCAAGGACTGAAAAAGGTTGGGGAACAAAAAACAACTGTCTTATGAAAAGAAGGAGAGAAGACTAAACACTATCCATAACCCTGAAGGATAGGATACGCGGGCTATATTGGTTGGGCGTGGGCTTGACCTTCTGCTGGTCGGGCATAGGCTTAACGTGTTGCTCGTCAGGTACGGACTTAATGTCCTGCTTGTCAGGTACAAACTCAACCTCACGCGGGCTTAAAAGCCTATTGTTAATTAGTAAACAGTAAAGTCGCGGCGAAACTGACGGCGCAGTTGGGGAACTTGTGCGGTGTCTGTTGGCCGTAAAACGACCACGTCGAGCTCCTGGGGGAGAAGGGGAAGCCGATTGTGTATTTGTGAATCCATTTAATAAAGGAGTGATCGCTATTGGATTAGTTGTATTGAAGAAAACCAAAGGCGCGTCTATTAGCGTAGTGGATATTCCTCGTAGGTAGCCTGTTCTTCACCTAACTGCCTATCCACATTTGTAGCATTATTTTGAACGCTCTGGGCACTTGTTTTAGAACCTGGGAACGCTGCCCGAGTCTACTAGACGTTGCCAGCGCGGGAACCGAGGACACCTAGTGTTGTTGCGGCCAACATAGAAGAAATATCAGTGCTACCATCCTTTGCTAGTATACAGTGCTCTCCTAGATCACGGAGGGCCTTGTCGATCTGCTCCGCTGCGCCAGATGCATGAAAGATACGCGCGATAATTGCATGAACCTTGAGAAGCTCGGGGCGCGGAAGATCGTATCTTTGGTCATACCAATTGAATGCAACAGTTCGAGGGAGGTGTAGTCGTAGTCGTGGGCGGTAGTTTTGAATGCGGTATTTATGGAGCTGGGAGGTCTCTTCGAACGAAAAATCAAACCGGCCAAAGGACCGACGTAGCTCACTCGACATAGTTATCGCATTAGTAGTATCGTTGATATTCTCCCGGTTGAAGTTTATCGCCTGGATAGTTGGAAAATGGCGGATAAGGTTTGTCCAGACGATGTCTTTTGCATAGCCTTCAGACTCCGTGCTCCACGATGCAAGGGAAAACGGGATGATATACACGCACTCTGTGTATGTTGAGGGGCTGGTGTTACTTGCATCAAGAGAATCTTCATCGAAAAGTCCAGTCACAACACATCTACTGCCATCACGGGCAAGGCACTCTGTCTTGAGGCGAGCTTCTCTTCGCATAGGCCCGGCCGAATCGGAAGCGATATTGTCAATGGAGTCCTCCATTCCGAGAGGCGGGGAAATACTTGGGGTCGAGCGCAGCGATCTTAATGGTGCCACTAGGCCGTCGGACTGAGCATGATCATGCAGTTGTTGGTTGGTCTGAAGTGACTGGAGATGGTGGAGGAAATTGACCTTCCCATTTTCCGGAAGGTAGGCGTAGAATGCCCGTAATATCGGAACTGTCTTATCCTTGGGACCGACGGGCTGGTATGCATCAACTTTCTCCATATTGGTAGCGAATCATTCGACAGCATATATTGTCAGAGAGAAAGATGCGCTTGAAGAGAGACGCGGTCGTTCGGAGCTTAAAGAGTGAATCTTCCTATCTTGTCGGGACGGCGGCGTGGAGGGAAAGAGACGCTAAACCCGAAGAACGGATACTAGTCCAAAATGCGTAATTTGTGGAAAAAATAACCGTCCGATATGGTGTAATCCAGGGGGACAACGGAAAGACCACGGTTGTGCGTGGTTTTGTGGGAGATAATCGTGGTGATTCTGTATATGCGATTTTATAGATGTAATGAGTCGGCACAGACTGTGACACAAATCTGTACGCTAATCTTAACGATACCGAACTCGTACCGTCTGTATTGGGGTGGGTTCGAGCACGTCAACTACTGCCACCACAACCCCTAGTAGTACTACCGCTACTGCTACGTCGGTAGCCCCAACACAAACTGAATACATCTATGGGTGCCAGGAGTTCTTTACCGTCGAGTCGGGAGATGATTGTTCGACAATGGAGACTGAGTTTGGAGTTACTCTTGCCCAACTCTATGAGTGGAATCCCAGCAGTAAGATCCTATCCATCAAAAACCCCCCTAGAGATGAGTCAAGCTAATTCCGAACTATAGTTGGAAAAACATGTACGAACCTTTGGCTCGGATATGCCTACTGCGTCAAGGGTCCCACCGCCACGGCGAGTAGCTCAGCTGGTACGCCTACACAGACTGGCATCGCGTCCAATTGCAACGAATATTATACGGTCGTTTCCGGGGACTCGTGCGCGGCGGTCGAGGGTGCGTTCGAAATAACATTTGCGCAGCTGTACGAATGGAATCCGGTGATTGGGTCAGATTGTCAGTATTTGGATGTTGGCTATGCCATTTGTGTTGGCGTTTCATAGACCTGCACCAAGACCAGAATAGCAGGGAAAGAAAAGATTAGTCACAGTAGAGGTAAAGAATGATCAGTAATATATATGATTCTTGTCCAGAAAATATATCGCTCGGGCGTTAGGACCGGTCTCCGCTCAAAAGTGAAAACCAATGGCCGGTGGCCGTCGATACTCAACGCTCCAATCCCCATCATCAGTCATACGTGAGGAGGCTCCAGTCTGCGCCTCGCTATATCGAACCTTCATCCAGCCAACCTCGTCCAACGTACAGCCGTACACTGGCTCGTGTCCATCGTCTGGCCCCCCTCCTGCAGCCAACTCTTCGGGGTCCCACTCTAGGGGCCACCTCCCATTGATCAGAATCACAAATCCAGTAGTATTATATACTTCCAAGTCCTCGGTCGGTATATCCAGCACAGACTGTAACGCCTCCTCGTCAACCATGATACACAGCCGATATCGGGCGGAGTACGCCCACTCTGCACGTTTGTATGGCACCCCTTGCTCCGTCTCGCAAGCCACCCTCGCCCACTCCTTAAAAGCGTCCCGTATTTGATTAGGCGTGGCCCCGTTAAAGCGGCGCGCGTCTTCCATCACAACAGGCCGAAAGGAATCCAATATATCGAGCCCATCGTCGCTTTCCAGTTCTGTGCGGATACTGCCCATAAACCGATCGAGGAATTTCGCCCAGTCCGCGTCGCTCTTATAGGTGGTTCGGTACATGGTGATACCCCAGTAACGGAACCCGTCCGTCTCCAAATTTCTCTCAATGAGGTCAGCCATATTATCGCACATTCGACGCCATGGGGTTCTCTTGGAGTCTTCGATGACCATGGTTGCTGATGTGGACGAAAATGGCCGAGGTAGTGATTCCCCCCTGACCCGGGGAAATCGTTGAGTCCTTGGCTTAGTGCCCGGATATGGTATTTTCTCTAACCGTGAGGCGAAGACGGCTTGTCCAGTGCAGCACGTAGACAAAGATACAATGCTAGAGAGTGTTCTCGTAGGGGTGCTGAACAGGTATATTGAGCTTCTGAGGAAAACTCGGGAAGAGAATAAGAACGACATTGAATCATCCGTAGCTTGCCGAGGAAATTAAAGAATTAATCTGCATTTCTGCCTGGGTTGGGGGTTGCTTGGATTCAATAGCCCAGCCATTCGGTGCGCTTCGAGGGGTGGAATAGATCAATCACAAAGATCTGGGTTTTAGCCTGTTATTAATAGGTTAACCTTGAATCTTCTATGCTCTGCACTCAGGGCAGTTAATAAAGAGGCCGTGGTTCCACGCTATTTCCCAGCGAAATCTGCCGTTAAGAATTCTCCGCCACCGCTCCAGAAGTTTGCCTAGATGAAAACTACCAGCATGCCGGAACAAAATCAAAATGCTAGGAAATTTGATTAACATTTTGCCCTCATCTATATTGACCGAGAAGGAAAAGTTTGCCCTAAGACGTCTCCTTCCATCTCTGATAGCGCCCGTACTATTCTGTCCACTCAAGTAACTTTAGAGTTTCTAAAGGCGGTAGCAGAGTCGAGCGAAGGCGGCTTTCCAACACCTACTCCAAAACTGCCAGACAGCCAGTCTCTGAATCTGCCCCTATCATCGCTAGCGCCTACAGTTCCTAGAGCAGCAGAACTAGGGGAACTAGGGGCAGGCTTACAAGGCAGAAGAAAATTGTGGAACGAAGAGCATAGTGTCGATATCCAAACAGCCACAATCAATCCTAACGCAATTGCACTCTTTTCCTTTAAATCGAATTGGCACGTCACAGCCGCTATAGAAGCTTTATATTATAAAGAGCAGGGAAAGGAGGGGTTGGTTATATTATCTAGCTCTCTTAGATACTTATATCGTTGGCTTATACGAATTTTAAGGAGGAGCGTCCGGTCGAATGTATAATTGATACGTTTTAACTAATATTCCCCTCGGTCCGAAATTGATTGGATACTATCAGCTATAAGGCTCTTACTCTCGTACTGGGCCCTAAGGTAGATTCATGGACCCACTGTATATAGGCGATTGTCTATAGAGGGTCTAGGGCGACTGAAACCAAAGGGCGCGACGGACCGGCTGACTGATATATAATATAACGGATCTACCGGTCGGGGTAGCGGACCAAGGGCAAAAATACTATATCTCGAGCGTAATAGCGAGGGCTAAGAGGGAACGGGGCAGGGCGAAGGAAGAAGCGCAGATTACGCTCCAGGGTTCGAAGGACCGTAAAGGACTGGCTGATTCACGCCGGCGATAACGGGGGTAGCGGAGCTCGGTAAACCGGATCAATGGCAAAAATACCTTATCTGCAAGGCGCGCATAGGGGGCGGGCCGGGGGGGGAGAAAGGAGGAGCAGGAGAGTCGGGGCGATAGGGAGGACTTTATAGAACTACGTACAGGGCCCTATGACGCTAGACCGAAAAGACAGCGTTAGGCCTAATAACATCCTTTGCGGAAGGAATTTCAACCATCCGATATGGTGTAGTGGCTAACATCGCCGTCTCTCACACGGCAGCCGGGGGTTCGATTCCCCCTATCGGAGTTTGTTTTTTATTTTTATTTTTTCTTTCCTTATTGTATATAGTATTAGCATCATGCTAGTCACTTATTTTTGTATCTTTCTCAAGAACAAGAATGTCATTGGTGGCTGTTCCAGCGCGGGTGGAATCCATGAGTCACACAGCCTCCTAATGGATACCAAGCCACGATCGTATTCTGAGTCATTAGCATCCTCTAGGGCTGATTTGGCCTATCACTAGGAGTTAGACATTACCACTTCCTGCGTACTTTACCTACAGGTATGACTGAACGTGAATCATCCTAGGATTACATCTCCAGCCGTACAGGGCTGAGTCGCGACTCGGCAAGGTGACATCTAGATAAAAATAAAAGTGTTTGGCCTTATGCCCTTGGGGTGATATATATAATTCACATCGGTTTCCAGGCTAAATAATTAAACTCAACTTGAAAACCAAATTAAGAACCAACTCGACGATCAGAATTCTTGAATCATTGAAAATCATGGCTTCGAATAATCAGAGCGATACAGATGCCAATATGATTAATGGGCAAGAGACATCCTCACTCCCAGCAGTGTCAACAAGCTCGCCACAAAAGCGGGATCAGCGAAGTGTTTCGCCTGAATATAACCCTAAGGCTGGCGAAAACAGACTACGCCCGGCTGGAGGTAGGTAGTTTGAAACTTGTATATATCGCCAACCCTGCTAATCGGACTGCTTACAGACATCATCAATCGCATTACCTGGGATTCGGCGTTTGAACGCAGCAACTATGTCATCGGATTCGTGGACCGATTTGAAGGACAATTGGAAGTCACCATGGGCAGTTGGAAGAAGGAGACCACCGATGAAGAATTCATTCCACAGCATCGGGTGTTATATATCCGACACATCAATGGGGACATTGTTTGGGATCGAAGGAGACGTATTGACAAGATCTTTTTGAGTGGAAACTCGGCGTTCAGCGAATTGGCCTTTCTTGTCTAAAGGCCTGAAGTGGATTTTCCGTCGCACCTTCTGTTTTTCCTGTCCCTTCCTACCTTGGAACCTTGGAAGGTTGACCTCTGTCGTCCGTTGTCTCTGTCATTTTAGAATATCTCCAACATTCATCACCTCATACTGAATGACGCAATGGGCTCTTCTAAGAAGAAGCCGTCTTTACCTCGCTTGACCACCAACATTCCCCTACTACAGAAACCAACCAATGCATCATGCAATAATTTGCTAGCCAAGACCCTTCCGGATGCCAGTGTAGCCCCGATCATCATGCCAGAGAGGCCGGCAAGAACTTCATCACTTTTCAAGGAGGACAAGCACGATGAGGAGAATATCGTGCCCGTCACGCGTTTTGCGTCAGAGAGCATGCCTGTCTATCTTCCCCAGAAAAGTGTGGACGATTCGCCGGTAACAAAGATGAAGAAATTGTACTACGAAGATGCATTTACGGCTCGTGGATCGCACAACTCCCCCAAGGACCGTGTGACCCATGAATCGGTGGTTGTCGTTGAGCTCAAGACCAATACCAAGGTTTGTAACGTGCTGATATTCGCTCGGTGATTCCTCTATGCTAACCCACCAACTAGCCAAAGGATAATATATCCAAGTTACTGTCGGATTTCGCCCACTTCCTTGCTCAGGTCTACCAGCGCCCGGAGACATCAATGCTAGTCACCATTGACCAGAACGCTGACTTGCTTTTTGGAACTACCTCCGGTTCTGCATATCTCTTGAAGGTTACTGCTCTCTCGAGTTTGATCGGACCCCTCACCAACCTCCGTAACACGGGCCTAATCCAATCAATCATCCAGGAAATGTTTGGAATTGCGCCTGACAAAGGAGTGGTGATCTATATGCCCGCGAGTGAAGACAATATTGCAACAAATGGGACGACCGCCAGGAGTGAGATCGACCGCCTCGAACGAATTAATTCCAGCAATAACTCTTCGATCTTCAAGTCTCTCTCGCGATCCATGAGTCGTCGCATGAAATCGAGCAGTGGAAACAGTATTCCGATTTCCCTCACTTCAGTTATGAGTCCTGACGTCGCAACCCCTACTTCAACTTCTCCTATGGCTTTTGCTTCAGATCAGGCCCCTCCGCTGAGGCCAAACCAAGCAGACGACAAAAAGCCAATACAATCACCAAATGGGGAACGGACCCAGCAGGTCTCATCCAAAGACGAGAAATCTGAACGAGCCTTAAAGAAGAGAGAGAGCTTGAAGAGTTTTGTTAACCGTCGCTTGGGCGAGTTGGGCGAGCTGACTACAATGAAACCATTCACAGCTACAAAGGGAAAGAAGGATTGACTGCTGTTTGAGAATCGCAAAGTACATTGCAGTGGGTAATGTAGTTGATTGCATTGGGGTATCTTCTTAACAGGGGTTCGGCATATGGATTCGCTGTGTCAGACAATTCAGTCCATATGATTATACCTTGCATCCTTGGCCAACTCTTAGCACGAAATTGAGTGAATTGACCTCTTGTCAATGTAATATGTTTTGCTTTTGCTTCTTGAATTCTAAGGTTTCTATATATCATATCTTTTGTCAAGTTGTTAGAGATACGTTGCCTTGCGAGCTTCACGTGAGACGGTGGTAGTTTAGACGATCATACATGCACCTATTTCTCTCTTATGATATTTCCCCTTGTACTGTCCTTACTTCTTTCAACCCCTCATAGGGAGCATAGGAGAATTCCAGTTTCCTTATTTACTTTCTCATCCACAACACAACATCACACAACACAATATCACACAACGCGATATCATGTCTGACTCAGATGAAAACCAAGCTGCAGCGATTGAACGCACTGATAGTGATGAATCGCTGATATTGATGACCTCGTCTTTGCCTGCTGTCGTCAACTTTGTCCAGGAGACCCCCGGAAACCTCTTCGACGCTCCCAACGGCGCTGCTCTGATCCGTGGGAACCCCTTATTAGGGACCCTTTATTTCAATTAGAGCCTCACTAACCTAGTCAATTCAGATGCGTGCAACTGCCAGGGTGTCTGGGGCGCAGGAATTGCCCGTGCATTTCGTGATCGGGTTAGTCAATCATTCAATCACCCACTTGACACCATAGCCTAGAGCTAACAAGGCGATGTTTTATAGTATCCTGCCGCCTATGATATCTACCGCAACCATTGCCTCATTTACAAAGGCCACCCAGTTACCAACATCATCACCGACCTACGCGATGAGGACCCGCAGCCCTCTCTCGTTGTCGACCGTCCCCTCGGCACCGCGCTCATCATCCCACCCCAGCAAAGTGACATCCTCCTACACCGCCGGCGCCATTGGATAATCTGTCTTTTTACCTCGCAGAAATATGGCAGCCACGTGGATTCGGAGGATATGATTGTCAATAACACTTTTGCTGCCCTACAAGACCTGAGTGAACAGCTACAAGTGCTTTCCCGACAGGCTCCGGAGACCAGTAGTGAGCGACCTCTGAGTCTCTACTCCAGCCGTTTCTGCACTGGCTTGTTCCGCGTTCCCTGGAACCGCATTCTTAAATTGATCAACACGGTCGGTCTGAACATCAATGTATACCACCCCTTTGAGTCTAGCAACCGCCGCGCTCGCCCCGTTCGCATGGAGCGTCCCAGCGACAGTTACCAGGACTGAGAGAATCAAAGGATCTGTTTCCTCCCCATCAGCAAGGATTTTGGCTGGTGGGTTTCTACCTGGTGGTATGTTGTGGAGGAGCGAGGGTTAACTCATTCTCATTTTCTGATGATAATTGAAGCTAGTTACCATGGAGCGAGCACATGCAGATAACTTTGATACACGAGAAGAACAAAAAAACTAGCCCAAAAGAAACAGGAGAATCAAGCCTGTCGCCACTAGCAAAGTATGTTGTAGGGCCTCCCCTCATCACCTGACAGCGCGTACTGTAGATCGCGCCCGCCCGCGTTGAGGTGTCTCTCGATTTCCCCAACCTTACCCTCACCATATACTTGCAATTCCCACCGTATTACCTATCGCATACCTTTTGTGACTCTCTAGGATACCAATATGTCCGGCGAACCCCAACCAGCTAAAAAGCGCCCACGCCTCCCCTTCAAACCTCCCAGTCGTACGACCAGCTCCGCGCCAAAGCCCAAAGGAAAAGCGAAACAAACCACAAAAGCCTCCACGTCTACTACCGTGCCCAAAACAACAAAAAGCAAATCCGCAAGTATTGGGAAACGCCCCCGGCCCGATTCTCCGGCAGCCAATACCAATGCCAACGCCGCCTCCGAATCCGAATCAGAGTACGACTCCAATGGATCGGGCCGCAGTCGTTCGCGCTCGCTCTCCCAGGAGCCCGACTATATCCTTGCTGAAATCACAACTGGGAACCAAGCAGAGGACGTGACGTCCAGCGACCCAAAAATACCTTCGAAGCTGCTCACACGCCTACTGCATCAGAATTTCCAGAATGAGAAGACCAAGGTCGCGAAAGATGCCAATAGCGTTGTCGCTAAGTATATTGATGTCTTTGTGAGAGAAGCCATTGCCCGAGCTGCTTATGAGAGGGCCGAGTCAGATGGAAATACCGGGGGCAGGGGTCTTGGGGACGGCTTCCTCGAGGTAAGTCTTCGTTTTTTAATCCCCCAATTGGCTAACATTGGTATGCTGATTGATATTCTAGGTTGAAGATCTGGAGAAAATGGCGCCGCAGCTTACGATGGATTTCTAGCCTCTGCGTTTCTACTACCAAGGGTCATGGCGTTAGGTGAAATCCATCATTAATTAGGGCGTATTATTTATTGTTCAAGATACCACAGCATCAGCAGAACACACGCCACATTTCTAATCAAACTTCTTCACACGCAAGAGGCCCGCAAGAGTGAAATATCCCTCGGGTTCGTATACTCAGGTGGCTTTCCAACGGTGTGATCCTCAACAAAAGGCGGCACTGCCCCGAAGCCATTGGCATTGTGAAACAGTGCAATATCTCTGTTAACCCTCTTTGACAACCAGGCATTCGCCACATAGGCCGTGTTCTTTTTGCTGAGATGAACAACAGCAACGGGGAGCTTGTTCTGCTCGGGTAGATGGCCGAGCTTGGCGTCGTATGCTGTGTGGCAGATGTCGAAGACGAAGAATACCCGCGTTCGCCACTTCTGAGCTGCCACTAGCTTTGTTGTTGGGTGAACTTCTTGTGGGATGTAGATATGGCTTTCTTTGAGGAGGCGGACGGCTTTTGGCAGGAGGGCCTCTGGGTTGTTTTGGGCTTTGGATATCTGAGAACTCCGGTGCGAGACTATGACCAGGACTCGGAGGGGGTTTCCCTGGGACATGGTGGGCTGAAGATGTGAGGAGTAATCCCTTTGAAGGGTTGCCTGGATGGGTCCTTACCAAGATAGACGAGACAGAATGTTTGGATCGTCTCTACGCCTTTTCTGTTTGTGTTCCTCCCTCAAGGGTGCACTGCTACATACCAGGTTTTACAGGGTCCTCGAGCAGAGTTTAAGTAAAAAAAAACTTCCTACATCCATGAGGCATATGGGGGGCAAAGTCGGCGTCTCACCTGGACTAGATGATAACCTTCCAATGGCCCGACGGTGGATCTGGTCGTTCAAACTAGAACATTTGCCAGGGGATGGTCATCTGCCACTGCGTACAAACATGCTGACAATTAAGGACCAGGGTCTTGCTTCAGCTGGATATCAACGCTGTCGGGTACCTGGTGACTGGGTTGAGAGGTCGGGATGGGACTCGTGTCAGTTCGACATCAAATTATGTACAACGTAGCAAGCCCGGAGTACGCATCGGAGATGGTAAAACAAAAGTCAGAGATAAGACAAAAAGGTCCATTATGATTTGAACGCAAGCTGGATGTCACCAAGAATGTTGTAGTTGATAGTGGACAGAAGGCGGTGGCTAGTGGATTTTCCCCCGCGCGTGTTTTGTTTCTTCAACGCGTCAAGCCCAGCCCGAGAAGACCAATCTTTTCGCGATGGATGATGCGACGACCTCCTTGCTCACTGAGCACTTTAGTTACACACCCTTGGTAAGCCGATCGAGACCGATACGCATGGACTCGTGCTGCACGCGCGACCTACGAGTTGCGACTCCGGACCCACCCCTTGCAACTAGGAATATCGCTGACAGCTCCCTAGTCTCTTATAGATGACATTATCAACTCGATCAACAATCTGATTTACCAAGCGATATCTAGCTTGGAGTCCGGTCTCCTCAATACGCCACCTGAACGGCTCGGTTTCTCCCATGACAGCAGTGGCCCCAGCATCGCGGAAACAGACGAGGATGGCAATGTGGTTTATCCCGAGGCGAAGCTAGAGATCGAGAATGGATTGCATCAGCTAGAGACGCTGCTGGAGGCCAATGTTGATAAGGCCTTCGACAAATTTGAGATCTATGTGCTGCGTAACATTCTCACGGTGCCCGGAGACTTGCTCTCTTGGGTGCGGTTGAAGCACTACGAGGTATGTGGAGGCTTTCACAGTTGTCTAGACCTGAACCTGCTTGGTGTTTTGTAATAGGGGATACACTAATGCGCCTTGTGCTAGGGTCTCTCTTTCGTATCTTCGCCAGACACACCGACGCCAGAAACCATACATGCGCAACGCAAGAAGTTGTTCGAGACAAAGAAACTAAACCGGTCGCTAAAAGAAGAACGCGCTCGAAATAATGCGGTCATCTCACAACTACAATCTATCTTGTCGACAGTTGAAACAGCGAAGGTAGATGGTGTGTCCAAGACAGCCGAAGACATACTAGTGGATTTGTCCTTCTTGACCTCTAGCCTAGCTGCACGCCAGCTTCGTGTTGGTGTCGATGCTGGGTCGAATGCTAAACCCACACCTCTTACAACCAACACTACGTTCATTCTCTCGCAGCTGCCCGCGTTGCAGACGACACTTGAACAGCTCCGGCCGAAATTGGCAGCCCTGCCCAATGCAACGGTACCAATTGAAGCCAAGTCTAAGAGAGACGAGAGAAAGGAATATATCGAGAGCAGAATTCGACTCCATCTCGAGCGAGCTGGTCAGCTTGCTGTGGGTGATGATGGAAATCCAGTGGTCGCAGGTCGCAGAATCGACATCAGAGAAGCCCACGCCCTTGAAAGCGTGGCAAACATGCTTACGCAAGACAAATCTGTGTAAGAGGATGTGCGTGTGAAAAATGTTTTGCTCTACGATTCTATTATTGAATATGTACAGGTCGCCTTACTAAGACCAAGTGATGCTCCATGTTTCCTGGGTCTTTCTGAAGGGGACCACGTCAGTCTTGTCTGACTGGAGGATCTCCGAGATCTTCTCGCCCTTCTTCTCGATAGTGATGAATTCCTTCTGCTCCTCCGGGAGGCCATAGAAGGACCGTCCGAACTTGCTCATGAAACCCTCGACAATCTCTGGCGTGACCTCATCCGCCTTGAGGACCCCGTTATCGCAGGCCTGCTCAAACGCATCAATCACAACTTGAGTGGTGTATGGTTGGGTGAAGACTCCAGCAGCGATCTTCTCGCCACCACGCTTGGATGCCGCCGGGTGCGGGGCGCTGTCGGAGCCAAAGAAAAACTTGGGATTTCCTGAGACAGCAGCACGGAGAAGGGCATCGCGGTCGGCTGGGGTCTTAGCAACGGGCTTGCAGAAGCAGAATGGGTCGCCGGCCCACGAGTCGATGATAATGGATAGGTGATGGGCTGTGATGGTACCAGAAACGGTGGGACCGCACTTCTTCACGGCCTCCACAGCTGCAGCAGTGGTACAGTGCTCCAAAACGATGCGCAGCTTAGGGAACTTGGAGTGCAGCTCAAAGAGCTTGGGGAGGAAACGCTCTTCCGCGGACAACACCGTCACATCGCCTCCGGAGGGGCTTTCTCCGTGCAGGTTCAGAATCATGTTTTGTCGCTCCATCTCCTCGAAAACAGGATAGAATTGCGTGTAGTCGACCACGCCCGCAGAGGAATTGGTTGTCACACCGGCCGGGTAACTCTTGACACCGACGATGCCGCGCTTCTTAGCCTCAACGATGGTCTCCGGGGTCACGGTCTCGTGGAGGTACAACGACATAAGGAAGTTAACATTCGGCTCGATGGCTTGGAGGCGCTTCTGGTAGTCCAAAGCACGGTCGACGGTCGTGATAGGTGGCACAAGGTTGGGCTATCGAGTGTATTAGATATAGCTCAAAAGCTAGGATTTGTTCCCCAATAAAGAAACCTCCTTACCATAACAAAAACGGTGTTCACACCTCCCTGTCGGATAGTAGGAGTCACCAACTCCATCATTGGACCATCACGAAGATGGACTATCTTTGGTCAGCTTGCATCTATTAATGCCCAGAATTTCTTAGTACCATGGAAGTCGGCCGAGGCGGGGAGCTTTACTCCCTGCAGCTTGGAGAGAGACATGATAAATTCCAATCAAGATCAAGCTCAAGCTCCAATTGCAAAGGTTATATCCCTGATATGTTCAAGAAAAAGTCGATCTGCGCGTTTGCCCCGCCATTTCTGAAAAAGTTCTGCCGATGGCGGTGGCCCTATTCGGCCATTCTCCGGATTCTTGGATTCTTGGATTCTTGTTTCTTTATTTCTTTATTTCTCAGCTGATTCTAAGCTTGAAAATACACTGAAGAGTCAGAGGCAATGTGTGACCATAACATGCCGAACTAATTTGAAAATAGGAATATTCCAGTCTTACCTGCGCATCCTCTCCGCACGGACTACTCACCGTGGCACGTCCGGAGTGTACTCGGGGAGAAACAGGGAAACATTGATATTCAAAGACCAAGGCCTAGATCCGTTCAAGGAATACGAGAATTCCTCGAATCAACAAGGCAAGGATGTGTTCCTGAATCACCGTTGCCGCTGGTGGCCCCCAGGCACAATTTTCGGCGCTTCGCCGTCACCTATCACAGGCCACGATGACCATCCTTGGGAGAAATTAGATTTTCCAAAAGACGACTGAGATCGGTTCTTCAACTAAAAATCACAAGCAAACCCCGCTCAGACTCTATATTTAGGTCTACTAGGCGCTTTGTTGGTTGCTTGTCCCCCGATGTGTCTGCCAAGTCGCCGAGTCTGCACGCTCAGGCAATTATACTCCGGGGATGTACAAGTCCAGTTGCAAGGCCAATGTTTACAATTCTAGATAGTCCTGCAAATTCAACCCAGAGCCTAAGGCGAATCAGCACGGTCGGTTACCATCGAGGCGCCCTACATGGCGCTATGCAGTAATCGGGATGAAGATCTTTGGGATAAGCCCTCATTCGGTGGTTACTCTCTTGTGACAGCAATAGCGCTCGCTAAGATAGTCCCTGGATCAAGTTTAGGCTATTTTCCACGAATATACATATCCCGCCTGGTATCCGTCAATAATCTGAGACAGAGTTGTTCGAACATAGTACCTACCTTTGCTTTTTCCACTTTTCCATCATTGTCATTGTCCCGAGGGGTTCTTCGTTCTTTCATATCAATTACCAGAAGGATCCTTGCCAGCAAGGTAATCATTGACAGTTACACACACTTCCTCTCCTTCGACCCCTCTTTATCATCTCACGAAACCCAACGACACTCTCATCATGATCTCAAACTCGTCCCTAGACGGATCAGGCGGTGCTCATTCTTCATACATGGAGGAATCAAAATTCCTAAAACGCAATCGTGTCCTTTACTTTGCACGACTTGGTCTATCCTTTTCAATCTTCGGCATTGCTATTGCCGTCGTCGCGTGCGAAGCCCCACCCTTGCGACATTATAAGAACACCTCCCAGTGGGCGAGTGCCGGCCTCGCACTGTGGCCTTTGAACTTTGATCTTCGTCCAACAACCGCCGCCATTTCATGTGGCTGTATAATCACCATCTTGAACTTGGTGTACATCGCCCTTACCCTCCTACCATCTGTGAGTTTTACACCCTTCCACTGCACTGTGTTTGATTCCATATACTAACTCCCATCCAGCCGCATTCCGGTATCAAGTCACTTAACAACTATGCCTCAGCTTCAGCCGTTGCAGGTTTTGTAACAGCCCTGGCCGGCATCCTGTTCATAATATACCCGCCGTCCTCCGATTACCCAGCAGGGTTCAACAAGAAGGAAACCCTCCACAGCTGGACCTGCAAGTGGAAAAACGGGACGAGCAGCATTAATACACCCCGCCACTTCGATCGTGACTGTATCAATACTCGTGCTGGCTTTGTGCTGCTGTGCGTACTTGTTGGAATGGAGGTGCTGATGGGCCTCGTTGCTGCTGTTGGTACCTGGTTCCAACGGGATATCTCTCGTCATCGGGCAGAGCAGTTCCAACTCGAGAAGTTGGAGATTGCTACTAAGCAGGTGTATCGCAATTGATGAGAGAATGACTCCGGGAGGATATAGGTGCTGTGTAAACGTGACATTGCTTCGTTGATTTATAATGGTTACTCTGTTGAATGGAAGGGATGTACTCACGGTTATCTATGCTGGGCATTGATTAATGAAAGATGAGAATTCACTGGTCTGGTACTTCTGTGGCTTCTGTAGCTTCTGTTGTTTTGTGAGAAGGGATCGTCTTGCAACCAAGGTGTAGGAAAAATATGTATCTAGTCTGAGTCTCAAGGAGGTTGTTTGCTCCACATATGCCATCTCCATTATTTATATCGCAGAATGAATATTCCAATGTCAATGCAATTCTACAAGTATATCTAAATAGGTCTAATAATCACGTAAACTCGGTAATCCCTTCCTTCTGGGACCCCAGTCTCAAAATGCAGCCCCTAGCCCTAGAACCACAAGAGCCATCCAACTACCAGCATCATTCACAACCGCAGCTCCCTCCGATGGACTCGCCGACTTCTCATTCGCAAAGGTTTTAGTCGGTCCGGCAGTAGTAGACGAGCTGCTACTAGTGGTCAAAGTAGCATCTGTGTCGGTTGGCTGTGCCGCATTTGATCCGGGAAGAGTCCATGAGGGTGCGACGGTAGTCTCTCCTTGGTCGTATGCATTTGCGGTAGCGCAATCATTTACACTCAGTTGTTTGGCCGCGGACGAATCCGGGTCATCATCGGAGCAATCTACGTAACAGCTGCTCAATTATATCAGTACTGCGGTGTTGACTGTATAGGCATCTCATTGAGAAATTACAAGAGTCAAGTAGGTGGCCTACTTACTTGGCAATGTTTGCAGCCCCCGAGCACTTGCAGTCCCAATCATTCGAGGCACACTTTGCGAGTCCACGTTTCATTATCGCAACGCATGAATCTACAACTCTGTTGATTATGAGAAAGGAATCTTAACGGAAACTCATAGGTTCTTAGAGGCTTATAAGCTTACTTCTGAGAAGCACAGTTCGAGTTGCCGCTTGTGCTTTGGGATGTGGCATCTTGAGCGGCGATAAGGGTAGCCGATGCAGCAAATAGAAGGGAGAGATGAGTAGTAAAAGAATGCATTGGGATATTGAACAAAGTTATATTGAAGAATATGCACCCTGGTAGGTATAGATCAGAGGTTGAAACTTAAATTTCAAGTTCAAGTTCAAGCAGATTCACTTAAGACCTTATATTGGGCGTGTGGAAACCAGGATTTTGAACGTTACATCCATCTTCAAGGCAATGGAACCATTAAATGCTCTCTCAAGGCCGTGTCTATTCCCGGCACGCTGACACGAGCCTGAACAAAGCTCGCACGTGGAAAAGTATACCAGGGCCCACATTCTTAACCAGGCACCATATGTTCTGCGCAATTATGATCAAGAAAGCTACGAAGATTAAAGGGGAACAGTGACTAAGTCAAGCCAGAAAGGTTGGTTCTTTGCGTGTGCCGGATTGGTATCACATCCAGACAACAAGTTTGGTTGAAGATAAAAGATCGAACCAGAAGAGGAAAATTTCGCCTAAAGCGGTTTTCTGATCCAGAAAAGTTTGCGAGGTACCATGGGAGGTGATAATATGATGTTCTTCCCCGGCATCATAACTTCCTCGGATGTCGCATTCCAGAGATCTGGGTTACATTCCTGAGTCGAATCCTCTGCTTGCGTTGGCCAATGATGAATGGCCAGAGCCGCATTAGGAACCTTTAAATGTTCAGTACAATCACATTATGCAAATTAGTTCCCCAAATATCCCTCGTCGATATCTTCTCGGTTTCTATACTTAGAAGATACGCCATGATATCTGTCAAAGACATCCCTGTATGTAGTCTACCATAGCAGAAAGGTAATAGAAATCCAACTACTTACTCCATGCCTTTTTATATCACAAGGTCGATATAAATCGTACCTGCTGAAGCTAGATCAAGATAATGACCTCAGACTAAAAAAGCCCTAGTCGTCGTACGTACGTACAACAACCCAGCTATGTCTCATTTCGCCTTGAAGGCCATAGGAGTGCTTGGTCTATCTTCGTTAACTACATATATAATTGATTATATGAAATCGAAGGAAATGCGCAGTTACCATTACTACAAGCAACGCGGCTGCTTATAGGCCGACTCCACCATATATCCATCCATACTCCATGCATACTAGCAGAGTTGCCGAGGTCATCATATCCACAAGCAGTATGCTCATAGAGGAAGATAGAAAGCCAGGAGTCCTCATACTGGCCATCTTTCAAACCCCATCCATCACCAAAGACACTTCACAATCCTTGTTCTCGTTGTATACTCTAGCTAGTAGTGACAACAGCTTCTGCTAGAGGCATGGCTGCCTTTCTTATTTGCTTCTAGGTCTTTCTTCTGGTCAGATAGATCTTTATCTTCCATAGGAAATCAAAGCATGGTCTTTCTCCCGACGGCTTCGCCACCAACATCCCTCAATGCTTTTGGCCAGAATATACCTAGCCATAGAGAGTATGTGTTCAAAGCCGGAATCAACTAACCCTAGATAGAGTCAGAAGGCACCAATTCAACACTCTTTGTTGTCCATCATGCCGATTAGGGATTTTGTCTGGCAGGAAACTAGTAAGTCATTCATTAGCCGCAAGCTAGAGGGGAGCTCCAGGTTTCAATCAAAAAAGACGCCGAGCAAAGACGCCGAGCAATATCTTGGTCATAAAACGTAAATATAAGCACGTATTGTCGTGAAAACTCCGTCCACGTCCAGCTCCACGTAAACGTAAACGCTGAACTTCCCTTTCTCCTCACAACATACCTTTCATCCGCTGTGAATAAACACAGCGAGCAGGCTCATCTCTTTCTTTATTCCTTTGTCTCTGCTGTCTTTGTGTGACAATGAAGGAGCAGGCTGTCCCTCCTACCGGCCCTGCCGGCCCTGGCGGCAGCACCGCCCAGCGCCGTCGGCAGGATGACTGGCGCTCCCGGCGCAATGTAAGCCGATTGAACGCTCCATTGACTACTGGAACCTTTGTAGAGCAATACTGAGATTATTCATAGCCTATTGCTCCCACTGCCCCTACTTTCCTTGCCAACCGCATCATGGAGCTAATGTCGCAGGCCATTCAACGCCAAGTTGATGTACGATATGACCCCAATTGCCATTCAGCCCGAGCTTCGAGGTTCTGAGCTAATATCACTTATAGCAGGAAGGTATGCAGCCCTCGGCTGCTCGTGACGCCCGTGTTACCGAGCTCACCCTGCTGGCAGTTCAAGCCCAGACGGTTGTAAGATTCACCCCATTCCCCCATTTCTCATACACCCCGATCCTCTTTGGGATGGTAGCAGTGGATGATGGCTGACGTGCATGACCTATACAGCATGAATTCGGTGCCCTCCATGGCGCCGCCCATGGAGATCAGGCGGCCCGTGGAGACCAGTTGGCCCGGGTTCGAGGCCAAGGTGGCCCTCTCCGTGTGCGAGGCAGCCGTTATGATCGTGGTGGCAGTGGCCGTGGCCGTAGCCGTGGTGCTTACCGTGATACCTACCGTGTTGCTCACCGTGGTGCTCACCGTGTTGCTCACCGTGCTGCTAACCGTGCTGCTCACCGTGGTGCTCACCGTGGTCACGCTGTCCACGGCACTGCAGCGGGCGATGCCAACCAGCAGAACCTCGTGGCCCGTGAAGTGGTCCCCGAGCCTGTTGTTAATGCTGAATCCAATTGGTGGGCCGCACCTCAGACTGGTCTGGAGGAGATCGAAGGTAAGAACAGTTGCTTTATTGATGGCCATCCCTCCATTCCTACTTTCTCATCATGCCTTCCGATCACGATACTAGGATGATACTAACCATCATATGTATTATAGACCCCAATGCCCCTTAAATCCGTGCGATCTCAGTACGATGGCCCTTTGCGGCTGAATCTGGATGACAAGATGAATCTGTTTCTGGCTTTGGCCCAAGAGGAATAGCCCGTCGGACGGTCTGTTCCTTGCACTGTTGCAGTCCGTTTTGGGGAGGCTTTGCTTCTTCGCTGTTCTTCTATCAGAACGTGAATTGTTACCTCTTCTACTGATCATGAACCATTGAATCAATTACCAAGTCTTTTAACTCATTTATACATCCACATGTGTAGGACTGTATGCATTCAATGTTTCGACATTGGGACTGCCATTACTGTGGAGGGGCTTATGCTTTTCCCGACTGCTATAGAGCTTTGATTGTAAAAATAAATGATGGTGACAGGTGCCTTTGAAAGCTAGAGGTCTGTCTAGATGTTCATGGATGTGCATAGAAGATGTACATACTCATTGTCAATGGAGTCAACGGAGATGACATACATAGCCGTGACACCGCCTACGGCAGAAATTCATCCTTCTACCTTGTTGCGCCTTGTCCTAAAGTTCTGGATCACCTCTCGATAAGCCCAGACAAGCAGAAAAGATTGACAATGGCAAATGCTACTCTGCCAGAAAATCTGGATCTTGATGAGGAGGACTATGACTCTGCCGAGGATGAAGACTTCCACTTAGACGTGGCACCGGACGACTCCGACTTATCTTCCGACCCCGATGAAGCCGCAGAACCAGCAAAGAAGAAGCGAAAGACAGACACCCAATCTCAGATCCCCAAGGATGCAGAACTCGACTCTGGGGATGAGGCTACAATTAGAAAAGCAAGGGAGAAGAAAGAGAAGAAGGCCAAGGGGAGGAAGCCCAAGGGAAAACACCCGCGCGATAGCGACGAAGACGATGGCGACATTGACTTGGACGACGATGAAGGAGGAACCGGGGGATTCGTGCGGACACGCGCAATGAAACAACACATGTAAGTCCTAAGTTATTATCAATGCTGCTTGACTTAATATTGGGTTCTAATACGCGTTCTGCGAGCAGACAGGAGGAACAGCGCAAACCGCTGGCCAGGATCGACGGCGCGACCGTGGACGTGGACGCTCTATGGGAGCAGATGAATGCCCCCCAGACCCACACCGGCTTGCAGCCACCCCAGACCCAGCAGATATCCGAATCCGCCCAAGAACCTGAACCAACAGGCGAAACCAAAGGACAGGACCAGGGTGCCGAAGATGCGGAGCACAAAATAGGGAATACCGTGCACGCCGACCAGATGATCAAGATCAAGCGCACCTACAAATTTGCCGGCGAATGGATCACCGAGGAGAAGGTCGTGCCCAAACACTCGGCGGAGGCTAAAGCGTTTTTGTCCAGTGGGGAGAATGTCGAATATACCGACGAGGATGCTGCAGCCGCAAATGCCGCTCGTAACCTTCGGCGACCGCTTCGCAAGATATCGCGATTTGACCCCAATCCGACCGGCACGATCAAGAAAAGCTGGGAAAAGCAACTCGTTACCGATGACAAAGACGCGCGCGGACCCAAGATCAACACCGTGGAGAAGTCAAGACTCGACTGGGCCTCGTACGTCGACTCGGCCGGTATCAAAGACGAGCTGCGCACACATAGCAAAGCTAAGGAAGGTTATATTGGTCGCATGGATTTCTTGGGTCGCGTGGAAGACAAGAGGGAAGACGAACGGCGGGCTGCACGGCTCAAGGGTATATGAAAACACCACTCGTGCGCTCTCTGCCCAAACCCCTCATGGCTTCAAACACACTCTTCCTCCTGTCGCGTGCTGCAACAAGTGTATGGCTTCATACAGATTTGAGTTATTGCAGAACTCTCTGCAAGCCTTGTGCAGGCTACGTTTCGTTGCGATGATAAAACTCGGCGGGTACCTCTACTTTGAGCAATGGCTCACTCGACTCCGATTGAAAGGGCGACCTCTCGACCTCCCGCCACCTCGCCGATTCCCAATACTACGGTGTGCTTTATGTCCGCATTCACGACATTCTTGCCTCAAAGCTTCGCGCCTGAGTGTGACCATGTGGTCAATGCCGTATAAGCACCGGTCTACATCTATACCTAGTGAGACGTTATCGTCAAGCAAAACGATCATCATATGAGACTAACGAGAATTCGAATCTATATCAACATGTACTATAGCAATAATCCAGAGATACCATTTTAGCAACACTTTCAGTGTGCAACTCAGCAAGGACAATCACCAACAGAACACATCAAGCCCTATTCCTTACTTACTTGGGCACATACTTGATGCCAGTCGTTGGGCAGCTAGAAGTAGTGACTAGAATGGCCAAGACGTCAGTAAAGCACCAACCAAGAAGCAAACGATAAAACTTACGCGTATCGACAGCCTTGTATGTTCCGTCAATAGCATTGCCCTTGACATTATAGAAATACCAAACCTCGTTCAACTTGCCACTGGAGCAGCCAAGGTAAACCGACGCACCATGCAGGGTAGTAAGAGCCTTCTGGATGGCGCTGAGAGTGTAGGTCTTGGATGTACTCGGGGTAATGCCAGCAGCAGAGAGAGCCTGGCACACAGTCAGAAACGAACAGCATATATAATGAAAGGCAGAGAGGGGGACATACCTTGTACGTATCCAAGGTCTTGAACAAATCGACCGTTCTCTGGAAGAAATCACCCACTTCTTCCTGCGCCTTGTAGCCGGAGTAGCAGCTCGGGTCAATGGTATTGATGCAAGTACCGTGCTTGCTCCACTCATGCGACCAGAAGTCCTCGTTGGCCCCGTTGATATCAACCCAGTAGTCGTCCATGTAGTCGACCAGGTCACCGAGATCCTGGTCTTGCAGGATCGCTGTGATGTTTGTATAAGCACGTTTGGAGTCGCAGCTGGCCTGGTATGTGCCGTCACAGTTGTCAGGCCTGGATGGGGAGGGGTTAGTTTATGATTTCAGGTATTCATAACGGTATCTACGTACCACAGTCCGTGGATGGTCCATGAGTTGGAGGGACCGGTTGATGGGCTAGTATCCCAGAATTGAGTCTGGAGGAGGGCACCGCCTGGGTAGTTGAAGCAGCATGTTGGCGATGTGGAGGAGCTCGCGCAGCTGAAGGCGGTGCTGCTGGCACAGGTTTCGAGGCTGGCGGTTGTGCCGCTGATCAGGCTCATAGCTGCTAGGGCGAACATGCCCTTTGCGGATTGAGATTGGAACATTTTGTCAAGATTGAATTGAGAGTGAATTGCTGAGCTGACTGAAGAGATGTAGGAGGGTCATCGGACGGTTTTTATGCTTCAGTCCAGGGACCATACTCGGCATAAACATCGTCAGGCACATAGCCAATTTAGCACATGTACCGATAAGAAGACGCTGATTTGTTCTCGGATGTCGCCGCTACACCTATCATCACGGCGGAAATAATATGAAGCACAGTAGTGCCAGTCGAAGTAGGCGACGATCACCGAGCGGGGCAAGTCGAATTGTGGGCTTTTCTCCCTTTTCTCCAATGACTAGACAGAAATGCACCACGCATTAAAGCGCTAAAGCAGACTCCGACGGTTTTCGTCTGAAGAAGCCTGACGAAACGTCTTCTGAGGTTGCATCGACCGGGTTACTCCTTCGGATCTCCGACTGTTGATTCAACCCCGCGGGATTAAACCCGCTGATCGCCCACAACCCTGACGAACCAGAACGCTTAGCCCTCTAGAATGGTATTATCTGGAAGCTGATGTTGTGTCGCTTAGGGCACAATTGCTGTGGGTATCCAGAAATGGGCAGCATTCTGTCCCGTGTGCGAAACCAACTCATCACAAATATACGGGATTGATGAAGACAATACATGATCCAAGTGGTCACGGTGCCATTGATTACTCCGCTACTGAGTATGTTGTACATTGACATTGCTTATGATCTTGAGCATCGATGAATATGTTGCCAATGCCACACGCCAAATTCATGGACAGAGTCCAGATTTTCTCAAGAGAACTTATTTGGCCTATGTGTTCGACAGGTAGGCCCCCGTGCATAATGAACTTACATCCATGCTGGTCATCCAGATTTACATCTATTCTCAACCCAAATATCGCACGTTCAAGCCAGATGGGTCCCCAGCGCTTGATACTAGCATGGGCATGATTTCGAAAGGAATCTCCATCTTGACAATGGAGTGTTCTCGAGCAACTCAAGCCCGGGGAGGCTTCAGGCCATTAAAGCTTTGCAAACATTACTTTCCTCACTACTAGTTGCGCAAGGCTTAGCGGAAACCGCTCATGTGGTGAACGATGACGTTCCGATCTGTGATTTGGCCGACACTTTTGACGAGCCAAACTGGAGTGGCAATGCATTGGACGCTTTGAACTATATGACGGCTCCTGACTGAATGGTCCATCAGGCCCATTTAGGTGCGTCATAATGCGGAGATGGCCCGACCAGTTGATTAGTGCCGGATAAAGGGCATCAGTCCGAGTTTCCCAGCCCTATTCCATCCCCAGGATACTACTTGGTGGTTCTGAAATCTCCGAGGAGAGGCGTTGTCTCCTGCTCGGATTCTTTTGGTTGTTTTCCCAGCATACACCCTTTTCGGATACAATCAATCAGGACTCGGAAGCCTCGTTTCACTATCGGACTTGGTCAAACACTTCTTTTGTGGTGGTCACGTGCTGATCACATGCTAATGCCTGGTTTATCAGGCTTCACATAGCTATTTAGCTAGATCTCGATCATTGTAGATAATCTAACCTTCTTCATCTCTCTCTCGCTCCAAGAACTTTCTAGCCATCGATACCGTCAACACTGAAGGTGCCGAGGCTATACACGTGACGCTGTTTACTTAGTACTGCAGTGGGGTTTCCGACCAGAGCAGGATGACTAATCGGTCATGTGATAACTAAAAGCACTCTTGGCAACGCAGACACCCAGCGACGACTCTGCTCTCACACCTGTTTCGCAGGCAGGGCTGTCGGAGCCCCTGTCCCCCGTGGCAGGGTCCCCTCTTCAGTATATATATTTATGATCAAGGAACCCGCTGACCGGGTCTACTTATTCGGTTCCCAGAATAACATGGACCCTGGGGATGTCCCGACGTTTCTCCCAGAGCTAACCCAGGTCGAGGAAATGCTGATATCTCGGGTACATACCATTATTGAAGTCAGACAGGTACGTGGCCAGCAATACTTTTATCGCGGCCACGTGGCTCATTTCCTAACCAATGTACCCGTTTCCTAAAGATCTTTTTCTCCGTCTTTCGCTGCCCAGATCGCAAGAAAAATGGCGGAGGCATTTCCAAGTCCGCGTAAGCGACGCCGCCTCCTCCAGGAGTCGGAGGTCAATGAAGGGGATATGGAAATTGAACACTACGTCCATCGAACTGATCCATTTCGAAGCATTAGCTTCCCGAATTCCGATCCGACAGCCCTTAACGTCACCACCATGACCGCTGAGGAAGATCCTACACAACATTTGCACCGTGACATCTTCAACACCCTCGACCAGTATGGTCTGTCAGCGAAGTCACTTTTTCATATGTTGAATGCAACTATCCCCGGTGCCAGCTTTCCTCTGCTTCGCGTTGTTGTTGCGGGTGATCATTCGGCTCTAGTGCCCCTAGGGTCCATCAAAGACAATCTTACTACCCTTCTCGACAACCATAGCCTTCCACAGATCCAGGTGGAGGTGATCAACGGGGACCACTTTTATGTCCCTACTTTGTTCCCGATCCACTCAACAGCCGAGCTTGCCATTGCGTTTCACCATCTTAAGGATGAGATCGTCCGGCTTCTCGACGAGACTCTTGGAACCAAATGGCAACTGGTTTGTCCATTCAACATTGGCAGGGATTCCCGTTCCGCGCGGCCAGCCCTTGTTGGTGTTCTACCCTCAACAAATGCAAACTGGTATCAGCTCCAAGCCCACCTGACGCATCAACTTACATCACACATCCCTCCTATTTTTACAGACATCGAGTTCCTCCCTGGGAAACTTAGCCTCCTTGGGGAGGGTGATCCTGTCTCATTTAAAGATCGCGTCAAAGGTCCTAAGGATATTCAGATGGGACGTTCAATCGGCGTTCGAGGAGGTAATAACGCTGGTACCTTAGGAGGCTTTGTCGCGGTTACATATGACGGCGAAACGCACCGTGGCCTCCTGACCAACTACCATGTTATGCGCCCCTCCCCTCCATATGCTAACCTTGATACAATCAATCGTGAGGGCGTATCTCCTCTCTCGCCTATCCCCTTCCAGGGGGCAATCAGTATAGAATCTCTAGCCAGGATAGACCGTGACTATACCCTGACCGATCTTGACGACCAACTACAAGCCCTGGAGACACAGAAGGCTCGGGTCGTAGACTTCATCCGGCAACGGCAGCTCACTAGCGATGCACCTCGCGCATCCTCCCAACAACAGCTTGAAGCCGTTGAAACCTGGGAGAAAACTCTGATTGCAACGCGCCCAGTCATCCAGGCGATGCCACACGTCCTAGGTGACGTCTATTCTGCGTCGGGCCTCTTAGTCCATGGCCGACGTGTTATTGATTGGGCTTTCGTCGAGCTAACCCCGGAGGCCGAGGAGCGCTTCTTTAGGCCCAACCGAATGCCCGAAGTCCCAAGGAACCAGATGCCTCGAAGCGGCCCCTCCGGTCCACCTCCGGCTCTAGTCGCAGCAGGTACCCGTCTCGACGAATTTAGCTCGTTACAGGAAGACACGTACTATATCAAACAAGGGCGCACCACCGACGTCACAGGTGTAGTGTGCAACGGTGTGCTGTCTGTTTGCAAATGGGCGACACGATACGATATCAATAGTAATACCGTCGACAGCAAAGATCTTCGTACGGAGGAATTCATGATAATAGGTATCCAAGATCGCTTTATTGAGTTTGGTGACTCTGGCTCATTTGTCGTGGATTCGACCGGGGCCGTTGCGGGCCTCGTATTCGCCGAATTCAAACACAACCTCCAGGCTGTCGGACTCGCATTAACAGTCCCGGATCTTATGGACACGATGAAGGGTCGACTTAAAGGTCCCGTCTCTCTCCGTCTCCCATAATTTCCTTGCTTCCATCTGTTTTCATTGCCGGAAACGTATTTACGCAAGAGTAGATCGCTTCGACATAGGCTATGATCTACGAATCTCAACAGAGATAGTGACTGGTTCCTCGGAACCATGGATGTTTTTTTCCAACCGACAATGATATTATTCTTAATCTGTCTGTCTTTATGTGGTTTGAAGCGGTCTGCCTATGGTCGTCCTTCGTGGATCACAGCGTGATTCTAGTCTATCTGCTCATCTTCCTATCCTCCGAGTTTGCTGCCTCCTGATTGTCTTCGCGACGGATTATACTGGCTACGCATGCCTCTTTTATGAGAATATTCTGCTTTGCTTCATTTACTAATGGAAATTGCGCTAAATTCATTGCGACCTAATAATCTTGAAAATCGAGTAAATATCCCCGAATGCATGTATGCACACGATCGCTGTCCCCCCGCCGTAGTAGTAAATATGGTGTATTATGCATATGTAGAGCTAGGTCTCTATCGCGCGTAATCATCACGCAACTATATAGACGCAGACTAAGAAAAAGATAGAAGCAATAGCGTTACAGCTAGTCTCAAGTTCCTTTGGACATTGATTTCTTGCCGTGGCGACGGGCTACTTGCATATTAAGATACTGCTGGCACAGCGCTACAGCCGTATTAGGCAAGGGCTCTCTTAGCACTTGATTTTCAATACGAATGCCATTTTCTATGGTAATCGGAAGGGGATGCAGCTAGGTTCAGACTTGACTATGTTGGTTTAGTGCTGTCCGTTTCCGTGTCTGTGGAGATACAACCTCGAACTCAGCAAGTCCGATCGATCCCTCAGAGCAGGAAGCAAATCTTAATGGTACACCATGTTGGCATCGGAAGATCTAGCGACATTCATGGCGATATCTGAAATAGCCCGAGCACACTGATCAACAGGTAACCAACTCAGCCGCTCATTAAGTTCCTGCAATGCGCCCGTTGTCAATGCACTTCAAAACATAAGTGCAACAGCCTCAGCCTCATTCCATTGCGCGCTAACCATATCACCACCAAGCTGGCCGATTCTCAGGACTCGGGCTTGCATGCCCGGACAGTTTCTTTCACAATGGTCAACATTGGACAAACAGGGCATCAGTACCTAGGTATTTTCAAGTTACTTGCAGAGACATGATTTTACTCCCAATACTCGGTTGAATTATGAAAAGAAAGGTATCGAGCATACTCTAAGAAGTGGTTCCTCTCTCACTACAGCCTCACGATGTCCGAATAAACGAGGCAACGTAGAATTGTAGTAGAATCATAATCCACCATGTCGATTTTGACCATAGCGGAGCATTTCACTGTCTTGCCTTCTTCAATCTCTTACTTTTATCTCACTTGTTGACAACTCTTACTATTTGACTTCTCTCAATTCTTAATAACGTTTACTTCTTAACTCATCTTACTTCTTGAAAACTCTCACTTGCTGAGGGTATCTTCGCGGCGCCTACTCCAAACGCTTTTAGGGTTCCCAGCTGCAGAAGTTTTGTTTTTTCTTTCTGTAGAATAGGAAGCTATAGACGTAGTTACGACGTAGTTGGTACAGATTAAGCAGGCACGATGTTGCGTAGAGGGGTATATCGTGTTTCCCCCAGCAGCGTAAACTTGTATTCACAACATCGCAGCCATGGCAAGCAATATCACCAACATCATTGTTAATGTGTTCCCGGACCCCCGTCCACCCACCTCCGCCCAATCCTCCCCATCTCCCTCTGCCTCCGGGACCAATCGGTCCATGGGCCAGCAGTTGGTGGCTTCACCGGGCTTTTGGGCCCTCATGATTGTTGTCGCCGGATGCCTTGCTGGAGCAGGTTATTTTTTTTGGAGGAGGCCAGCCTCCAAGAGCGTGGACATTGAGGGTACCCCGTAAGTGGTAAACCATGATTCTCATGGAAACTATATTGGCGGGTCTTTGCCTATGTATGCACAGAGGCTAATATATCGTAAAATAGCCTCAAAGACATCAGTGTGGGCGAGCAGCCCAAGCAGACCAGCGAAGAAATCCACACAGTGGATGATGTCGAGGCCCATCCGCCTCTTGTGACCCCCAAGACTCCCGAGGCCTGCGCGCCCTCCACCACACCCAAGAAGAAGAAGAGGCTGAGCTCCGGAGAAATGGCCAGCCTAAGTACCCTCGCCCGTAATACTACACACGGGATGAAGGAGGGGATGAAAGAGGGCTTGGGAGTCCAGCTGACTGGGATCGTTTGCTGAGGCGATGCCGAGGCGACGGCGTTCCTCTGTTGTTTTATCCTTTTCTTCTCTCCGAGAACCTCAGTGAGGTGAGATGAATGAAAACGGAGCTTTTTATCAAACCGGGGGTGGAGGAGGAGGAGGTGTTTTGGCGGCGTTCCTCTGTTGTTTTATCCTTTTCTTCTCTCCGAGAACCTCAGTGAGGTGAGATGAATGAAAACGGAGCTTTTTATCAAACCGGGGGGGGGAGGAGGAAGTGTTCTTGGTGGCGTTCCTCTGGGCTTTTTGGCCGTTTTTGCTTCTCTCCGAGGACCTCAGTGAGGTGAGATGAAGGAAGAAAACGAGTCTTTTGTCTCTACTTTTTGTTGTTTTGTTGTTTCTGTTTTCTGTTGCTTTTATTTTTATTTTTCTTTGGCTGGTCCTCTTCGGAGGTGACCATGTCTAAATACATACTGCCGCCGGGCAGTTTCATCTTGGGAATGCATTTTTCTGTTCAATGTAGACCCCTTCGCAGACCTGGATCTTATGGTAGACCCTGATTGATCTAACACGAGACTCTGAAGAGGCCAGGTGCTAAAATTTCCTTTATATAAAAGTTTTCTCTTAGATGTCTCCTAGATGTCTCTTACCTTTGGCTCCCATTATTTAACAATCATCTTTTTCTTAAACTGTAACGTCCATAATAGTTCAGAACTTTTAGGGAAATATTTCCGCTATAGAATCTAAGGACAATCACTAGAAGTAACATATTGAATGGATTAACTACATCTTGCTATAGAAACCCAAGCATCTAGGTAGTAAAATTTCGAGAATATAGGGCACTAGTCCCTGATTTATATATAGCTTCATACACGGGGTGAGAGAAGTGTTTTCACCTGGACAGCATTAGGAGTTTCATCAAGCAAATCCATTCATATTGATAATTCACGACGCTTTAATACAAGATAAACAGCAATTTTCAGTAATCTCATCCAATGACGATCACTTCTAGTGAGACCCAATTTCTCCTGACCATTAAAGTCGAGCTAAATATTTCCAAAATTTCTTCCCAAAACTCCGAGGCGATTTTGCGATAGCACCATCACTCGCTTTCCGAACACTAGCCGCCATATCATAGGATGGAGGGCTTTGGCCAAGTTTGTCATTCATATTATTCACCTTTGAGGACTCAAGTAACGGTCCAGAAGAGCAAAAGTAGTCATCGCGATCCTGAGAGTTTTGGGCTAGCTCTCTTCGCATCTGGCGGTTGGGATTCTGCTCTAAAGAAGCATAAGCTCGGTTGAACTCACTGTCAGAGAGTCTTTCCATAGCGATATAGATTTCGGGGTTTTCAATGCGTTCTTTTAGAACATTTGAAAACGTTGTAACCAACTGCATCTGCTCTTTCAATAACAGAGACAACTTTTCAAGGTAGTCTATCATTAGCGGGACATCGTCGTCGTGCATAGGGTGATTCTCTGCTAAGTTTTCAAGCTCTGTCTCTAGCTCCGTACACTGTTGCAGTGCTAACCGGCGAGTACGCTCGTTCTCGATGACAGAGGTGAGTACATCTGGGCTCGGCTCGCATAGGTGGTATTGTGGAGAAGGGTGACAGTCGGAGACTGACTTCAATTCTTGGCTTCCAAGTAGTTCGGACATTCTAGAGACAATGAAACGATTCTTGTGTGGTAAACTTTGGTATAAGATAGAAAAGGAATATTGAATATAATTTGGGATCGAGGTTTGAAATAGTAGAAAGATATATCTACCTGGGCATCCTTGATACGTATACTCCTTGCCGCTGCCTAATAAGGAATGGATCTCTACCTAAGGTAGCTTCCCTCCCAAACCTTGGGACTAATCCGAGCCCCTCTCACCTTTAGCAATCAATCGTTGATCATGCTCAACCAGGGCGTGATCGGTAAACTTATTTTGCGCGTTTACCAGACAAAACTGGCATTGGGTCCAAACCTAGCGACGCCGAATTATATCGTTTTGGAATCGGAGCTTGTAATCAATACGTCACAAAGTCACAATTCTTAATCACAGACAGTAGGAGTCTTTTCGTTCTCAATATTACAAGAAATCCATAGACCAGAGACTCTCCCGGTCTACTCATTTTTACATCGCGTATGTATCCGAAATCAGTCTCCTGCCTCACGCTCGGCATCATCTTTCGCCTTGGAGGCTCGAAAATGTCGCAATGTGGAAAGATGCTCCTCGGGCTGCTTCATATGTTTTGGAAGAAAGCGCCAAAATACTCCACGATACTTTGTTTGAATGAGCGCATCTTACAGAAGATCTACCAACACCTCTCACTAGTCGATCAAGTTTGTCTATCTCTCAGCTGCAAAGAGCTCTTCGCCCTATTCGGGACGATCGTGAAGCACAAAGATCTTGAATTTCCACGACTCTTGTTTATTAGAAATCCAATACTGTGCGTGAACAGTCAGTATGTGCTGCGAAATCAACTCCTTCTTCGACTCGAAAATCGCCGCTGGGCCTACTGTGCAAAGTGCTTGAAACTTCATCCACGGAACGAATTTGCAAAATATCTCATGAGACAATTAGCCCTGGAGAGATCGTGCGTATACTATGCTGGTATAGTTGACCTATGTCCCTGTATTTCTCTGACGATTCGAAGTCGAGATCAGCTTGTCAAGATCCTCAAATCAAGCACAACGCCAGCCGAAACCAAATATGGCCCATTCGAGTATGACTATGACAATGGAGAAACCCCTAGCCTCGGCCACATCTGTATATTTAGCAGATCTGGCTACGATGTCCGAGTTGCTCTCGTTTTATATATTAATAAAACTGGCAAGTTATGTGTAGCGGCTTGGCATACTATAAGCTTCTCCTCCTCCTCCGCCCATCTCACAGCTGAGCCGACCTTTGCTTGTTCTCATCAGGATCTCCTATCTCTCGTCCCAGGGAAACTTACCGCAAAAGATCCTCACAAGTACCACATTTTGGCTACTTCAAGACCTCATCAGTATCTTATGTCTCTTGTCCCAGGGGAGCTGGTCCCAAAAGTCTGTCCCATTTGTCAGACTTTGATTACAAAATATAATTCGCCTGAAGACATGATGAATCAGGCTGTTTTCTGGGTGGTTCGAGATTTGGGAAGCTGTGAATGGCCTGCAGACCGATCTTGGTTTGACCAGTGTCGTCTCACCGGAGCACGGTTTTCACTTAATGAGATATACTGGTGAGTTTATCAAAGGATCTGTGGAGAAAGAAGAGCTAGTACTGATTCCCATATAGGTATCGGTCGCAGAACTTGCGGAAAATGATGCAGGGTGTTCACGGTCAGTGGCAAAGAACCTACTGCCTAGAACAGAAAGGAGGGTTGCTTCAATGTCAACGCGAAGGCTCACAAACTGCAGATGAGGGAATCCAGATAGCTAACACCTTCCCGGCTATGGCCGACTAAGTATGCCGGGACAAAACTCTCTCATTAGTTAATATGTATTGCTTTTTAGATCCACTTTAACTTTAGTTAGTTAGTGCAGTGGGGAAAGTCAGGATCCTCAGTTTGTGGCCTTAGCCTTTAATTGTAGGCAGGGAGAAAATCTCGGGGCCTTGCTGTTAAGTAGAATTCTGGAGAGAAGGTAGCCTAGTCTGATCATCACCTCATCACCCACGAAATGAAAAATGAGTTGCAAGATGTTGGTGCAATAGGAGGCAAGAATTTATACTGTGGTCTATGTGATCAGCTGACCGTCCTAGATGGTGGTCTTGTTGTGTCGCTCTCGTCTTGTCTGCTAGGCCAGACTGCCTATCGCGCGATTAGTTAACTAGGCCCTGGGGTTTCCAGTACAGAATGACTCAGCGGCTATGTGATAATTATAAAAGCACCCCAGAGGCAGGCTTAGACTGCTTTCCACTTCTCTTCTCAGTAGTCACCCCATAGTCTTCTCTTCTCTAGCACCCTACTACTCTCAGTAACGACTCTGCTTTTACACCTGTTTTGCAGGCATGGCTATCGGTGCCCCTGCCTCCGTTGCAGGGACCCCTCTTCAATAGCTAGACATCAAATGCCAAGCATGACACAAGGGCCGTGCATATACGCACGCCATACCAAACATAGCTTAGCGTGTAACCTTGATGATCTATAAGTGCTCGACGACCTGCATCTTCAGTCGACAGCATGGTGCATTTATATAAGACATAGCTGGACAGAATCAGAGATGAGATACAATGGAAGCGTCTGGGTCGATGCGTGAGAGTCGCAATAATATTATCCAGTGGCTTAAGCATGCAGGGTGTATACACTGTCGCACCCTCTCTTAATGACTCTAGAGACTATCTAGGCCTACACTACTGCCTCAATAATCATGAGAAGTGGGTTGGGCTTCCAGGGTAGATAGTTGAAGAGGGGAATTTGAGAAATGGGGGGTGACCTGAAGGACACCGCAGGTTCCTACCTGGGTAGGTAAGTGGTAGGTACAATACCCTCCCCCCCCTCCCCATCCTGTCTCCTTTTTCTTTATTCCTTCTTCATCTCCTAATGCCTCATACCATCCACAAAGCATATTTTATCAAATATTTCATCCACTTTATATCTTCCATCAGGTCTTCCATCATCAGCTTGAGCCTCATCACTTCTTCCATCTTTCTACATCCACAACCGATGAGATAAAGCCTACTCTCCCCATGCCATGTGCACATTGGCCTTCATCATGTTCGCCTTCATCACATGACTGGTAAGTTGTGTTATCTACTTCTGACTCCTTTCTTTCTTTCCTTGCTTACTTCCATTCATCCTTCAGACAACTCTACCACATCACAACATAATCACTTGCGCACAATCACTTCAGCATGTCTAGCACCTGTCATGCTTATCATCCATCACATGACTTGTATGTTATTGCTATTGCTTTTTCTTTCCTTACTTACCTACATTCATTCATCCTTTAGAGGACTCAACCACATCAGAACATAATCACTTCAACATGCCTGGTAACTATGTTTATAATCCACCACATGACTTGTATGTTCTCGATGTCTCTTTTCTGTTGCTTTCATATACTTACATTCACACTTCAGACAACCCTACCACATTTGCCTTCCGTCTTCCACTTTATGAGATCTATTCTCGTCTATTTTCAATGATCTATTTCATGTGCTCTCATCATACTCTACAAATTGGTTGAAATGAGGCTGACTGGACCAAGCATGCGGTATCAACCATATCCATTCGACCACATCCAGCCTTGCCGTGACGAGTTATGGTTCCAGGACAGCAAACACAAAACACAAAACATAACAAGAAAACAAAAAAAAAAAACATCCAAGCACTTCAAGCATCAACCGTCAACCAACCATCCACTTCAACCATCTACTTCAATCAATCTTCAACCAACCACTTCAACCAACCATCCACTTTCGACTATTGCAATGATTTGACCTTAAAGAGGAGGAATGAAAAGAAACGGCCTTGAACGACAGAGTCTCCGCAGGAGTGTCTCTGAAGGAGACTTCTCGTCGGGAAGAGGTTACAGCGTGTACCCATTTAAAGGAGACTCTCAAGACCGTTTGCTGTGGTGGTAAAAAAAAAGGTCGCCTCGACAAGCAAGCATCGACATCCAAGCTCTATTTCAATCATCTACTTCAATCACCCACTTCAATCATCCACTTCGATCATCCATCCAGTTTATTCGACCACTTTAATCAACTATCCATGTCAATCACCCATGATGTTTCGATCTTTAAGACGAGCAATGAAAAGAAGCGAACTTGAATGACAATTGTCTCTGCAGGAGAGTCTCTCTATCATTATCACATTATCATTACGATAGCCTTGCTCAATTCATAACATTCCGCGCAGCAGCATAAACAGTTCTTTCTATAGGCATAAACACAAACCTAGGTAGTGAAGAGGGATATGCACGATGGGCAGCCTGGCCTAGCAGGCAGGACGAGAGCGACACAACAACACCAACCATCCAAGGAGGTCAGCTAGCAAGCATAGGGATCATACAGACCGCAGTAGACATCCTAGTATCTTAAATGCAACGGCACCCTGTAAACGTCTTTTCATTTTGTGGGTGTGGCATGGTCTGACTTCTCTCTTCTGGGATTCTAAAGGCTCTGAGATCTTCTCTCTACCTAAAAACAAGGCCACTCAGGTAGTATATATGATTTTCTCTAATCAAAATGCATGTCTTTTTACTATATAAACCAGAAGTAGGCAGAATACATAGCAGAAAAAATAAAGTATGGCAGAAATATGGTAGAATTCTGAATGGTACCCGATCAGGAAGGCGGCACTGGAATTTAAAGCAGGGGGAGGGTGTGAGCAACAATGCCCTTAAACTAACTGTCAGAATCTAGGATGAATACTGTCATTTTTCATCCCTGATACAGATGGGTCACGTGATTGACCAGGCTGGTTTTACTGCAGAAAAACCAGTCCCACAGTTTTCTGGCGAAAAAAACATCCTTTCATTTTGTTTTGTTTGTTTTGATTACTAAGTTGCCCATAAGAATGTCAGTTTTTGGGACTATTGTCATTTTTTAGAGAGTTAGAGAATTTATTGAGATTTTTCTGCCACATATACACTCGCCTTACCACCGTTTTTCCGTCAATATCACCTACTTCATCGTCAACAACTACTCCAATAACAGTTTCAACAACCGCTTCAAAAACAACTTCAACCACTTTAACCACTTTAACCACTTTAACCACTTCAACTACTTCAACTACTTTAACTACTTTAACTACTTCAACCACTTCTACCACTTCTACTACTTCTACCACTTCTACCACTTCTACTACTTCTACTACTTCAACCACTTCAACTACTTCAACCACTTCAACCACTTCAACTACTTTAACCACTTCAACCACTTCTATGTGTATACCTTCCACTCGCCGGGGAAGTTGCACCTTCCTCGAACATAAGCGAGGGGCACTCCTTGCATAGTTTGCAGAGAAGGGCACGCACAAAACCAGAAGGAAGAGCACAGATGGTTTTCCTTTTCTCTTCTCTCTTCGTACTTAATATTTGGTCGAAAATGCACTCATTTCTCTGAATTGATCTGGCAGGTAACAATGGGGAGGCCCTATATATTCATGATTACTGATTAAAAATAGGGTTTTAAACTTGCACAACCCTTCGAACCCCCTCCAGCCCTCGAGTGCTCCGGGGTAATTGTTGTGGCAGAGATACGCCCCGTACCTGTCCAGTCGTCTCCTCTCCGCCGTCGAGGGGCTATTAGATAGCTAAAACCACCTGTCAGAGAAGATCATCCGGTAGGATTGCAACTGCAAGGAGCGTCGAGATGACAGATTTGCCTACGCAAGTATAACAGAGCAAGGGGGTGTATAATTGTAAGTGAAGAGTACCTGTCATTGAAAAGGGCTAATATAGTATCTAGGCAGAGTTTGAAGAGAGATGCCAGAGCCAGTGCATCGACCAGGTGTTTTTACTTTTTTTTAGCTTCTGTGGTATTCTTGCTCTTAGTATATACATGTTTGTCTCCGGAGAATTGGCCAGTATCACTACCACGACGCGCAATGTCGCACACGGGATAGAGAAGGGGTTGACAATTCAGCTGCTGGCTGGGATGGCTGGCTCGGTATGCTGAGGGATGACAAGGCGACGGCGTTCCTCTGTTGTTTTATCTTTGATCACATTTTGCTGGTCTCTCTTGTTATGAGAAAAAAAGAAACAGAACCTTAGTATCCACATCATGCATTCCAAAGTGCCTGTTTCTCCTCACTTTTGATAGATGCGTCATTTGTATGCCACTCAAAGTTCTATTAGAAAGTTGCGCTTTTAATTTTAATATACCCGTCATCCTGACAATTTCTCAGCGGTCAGTCGGTCGGTTCCTTTTTTGAACGCGGCAATTTGACTTATGAAACCATGATATTCCTGGAATTTGTGGACTCAGCAGCTCATTTTATATTCCACATCACCCTCTAATCCAGAAGCCCTCTAATAGACTCAACAGCCTTGAGTGAAACGGTATTTGAAGATGAGCTGTTACATATCGGGGGACGAAACCGATGAAGAGATTGATTTAGAAGAATCTGGAGAGATATGTCTTCTTCAAAGATACCGATACAATACCTTCGAAAAAGGACCACCAAGAAAATGGCCTATCGATCTAAAGGGGATATTGGAGACAGAGATTGCACTTCGGGAGAATTCTCAACGCGAGATAGCCTTGAAAGAGAAAATGAAGGAACTTGCCAAGGAACTTGCCAAGGAAAGCATCAATGTGACTGTTGTTCAAGACTTACGGGAGGAATTAGGCTGTTGCGGTAGAGAATGTGGATGCTGTTCTAATCGCCAGTCAAAACGGAAATTTGCAGTTGGTCATTGCACCGTGGAGTGTTCTTGTTGTGAGAAATCCCGGGGGTTTGCACTCGACCCAGAGCAAAAATCCCAAATTCAAGATTCCTTCAAGTTTAAAATCAACGGCACAGGTTTCTGGTATTACGATAGAATCAAACTCGCTTCTCTGCTAGGGTTGATAGTCGGCAATTACGAAAACCCTTTGGATCTCATCGTTCGCTTGCCGCCAAGATATACACCTCCCTCTGAGGAATCACGAGGGAGCTTTGTGTCGTTGTTATCACTTGTTAGCTTACGGTCTATGGATATTTCCGAATGAAGCACAAAGCAATGGAGAAAGATAATGGAGAGAGTGGATCGAAAAATGTGTCATCATTGCTCTACCCAGCTAGCTTTATAGCTACCCAATCCGATTCGACACTTCCTGGCTGCTGTAGGTGCTTTAATACTCCACATAGCGCTAGGTAAAACGATACAAGTCCGCTGGATTTTAAAGGAAAAGAGGACATGGATCGAAAGTCGTAGTTGATCGCATCTAAGCACAACTATATTGTGATCAAATCTCAAAGAAATGAAAATTACTAGCGCGGTAATCCGGTATGACGGGTAACGGAGATCAGGTGGAGTTCCCGCGTGGACTTGAAAGGTTCTGGGCTCTGGCGGGAGAAAAATACAGCGTATTTTACCAAACACGGTCATATCCCACCTGGGCAGTCTAGTTAGCCGACATATATGATTAGTCAGAACGGCTGTAACTCAGCACCCTACCGCATCTATAATCTTCATCGCTCACTCCTAGAATCATGGACTGGAATAACCACACTGAACATACCGATAGCCACTACAGCCCCGATGCGGCGGATACGGAGTTCCGCTGCGGTCTCTGCAACAAGGCATACAGTCGCCGTACGTTGATCTATGTGCATGGGATCGATCTGTCGTTTGACGCATCTGATAGGAGATCTCCGAGACCGGCATCGACGTCGGTGTGCCAAAACTTTCGGCAAGCAACGCGCATCTAAGCGCAGGTCTTGTGAAACTTGCGCCCAAAAGAAGTTGCGCTGTTCATTGACTCGTCCAGCCTGTAGTCGATGTGTTCAGATGGGCACCGCTTGTCACTATCCTAACAGGTCCTCGGCGTCTCTAACCCAGGGAGATCAAGATACAGGTCCGGAGAATGTGTCGTACCTGGAACCAACTCTAGAACCGACATCCACAGGTTTAACCCCCGATGTCCCTGTTTCAGCCATGATTTTGCCCGAGGATGCCAGTAATAGCGCTCCCATTATCGACGGCTTCGCCTGGAGCCCAACACTCAATAATATCAATTTTACCGTTGATGGAACTGGCTTTTATGATCAGGCCACATGGTCTGACCCGGCATCAGACTTCGTGGATCATCTATACAGCCCAGCGTCCTTCTTTCTTACACCGCAGGAAAGGTTCAAGGCACCCTATTCTCTATTACTTCCGGGAGATCTGATAGGCGTCTCCCTACCACCCCTATCCTCCCCGGCGGGTAGTGGCTACCGAGAGCCGCCTGACTCCGACTTCTCCTGGGATATTACAAATATGTTTGCCAGCTCCTTCCTCCCGGACTTGTCCCATCCAGCACTTCGAGACACATCCAGTCTATCTCAGGAGCTTTTCGGGATCCTGCGTGAGTATCCGCGAATGATGCTACAACCCAACTTCTGGTCCCCCTTCATCCACCACCGTCTCTACCGGTGCGCTGAGAACGGCATGGCCGAGCCTCTCGGTATTGCCCTGACTTGTGTGTCGGCCTACTCGAACTCTGTCGAGTCCAGCTTTGAGTTCGTTGACAACATGATCAACTCGGAACGGGAGCGGCTGGTCCGCAAGTTTCACCTTTACAGCGATCGTCCGGAAACCTGTCTCGCCGCCCTGCATGCTGTTTGCATGTATCAGATTTTGGGACACTTTCGGGGGCCGTCCATGGACAGCCATAGATCGGGGCATAGCACGTCCTTCAAAGATGGGCGTGAAGGGCGTCGCGAAGACTTGGGCAAGGCCGCAGAACTTCACGGTTCCTTTTTACTGAAGGTGGGTATTTTAGCGTTTCTCCTCGTTACCCTCAATCTACACCGCTCATTCGCCGATCGCCGTACAGATGACTCGGGGACTCTGCAAGCTGCACCAAAATGCTCTCATAAGGAACGAAGCAGGCTGGCCCGAGTGGAAATTTGCTGAATCCCTCCGCCGCAACGTATTCTTCGTCCACATCATTAATATACTCGCCGCCGAAGCTCGGAAGCTGCACCATGACTACTTTGAGCCGTTGAATGATGTCATGATTCTACAGATGCCCCTTCCAGCACCGGAGTATATGTGGCGCGCCTGCAGCGATGAGGAATGGTCAATGGCCCGCGAATACGCTCGCCCGACATCACCTACTCCGTGTACGCTCCAGGAGTTACTTGACCTGAACCGTGCGGGAAGTTTGGACGTTGTGTCACTACAACCTTTAACAAGGATGATTTTGGCGTGTCATAGAATTCGGTCTAAGTTTAACGATGCGGATGAATAAATGAGCATATGATTACTCTATTCTTTCATTCTCTTTCGTTGTGCTCTCTAATCCCTTGTCTACTTGGCTTTCTGGTGTCATATTGGTGCAAGATCACAAGGTCCCGCAGGCTTGACGTAAATAGGACTAAACTCAAATAGGAAAAGAAGCGGTTTAGGTTCTAGCGGTAATTAGACATTCAGACTACCTGAAAAAGGCACTTATACCGCTGCGTAATATCCTCTACGCACTCTAGATAGCTGGCTCGGGGGAGGGTGGGGCGACGTTGTTGATGGACCCTAAGCTTAATTTACCATGGGATCTCCCCTTTTCTGTAATTCCCATATGTGGACTTGCAACCATGTATCAATTTATTTTACTTAGGCACTCGCACAATGCTACTGATTCGGAAACGGACGAGGAAGGAAAAGAGGTAAAATACCCTACTGCAATGGTTATGGTGAGAACTTTGAACGATAATCCGTGTTCGCCATTAGGATATCCAACCTCTCGCAATCAAAGGAGTCTACCATTCAGTATGACCCTCATTGTAGAATGTCCCCCATTGACTCGCCCTCGCAACCTCTCTGTACGATTCCATATCGATAAGACTATCCTTAATGATATTCAAGTCAAGCAAATAATCTTGTCTGCCAGCTCCGTGAAGTGACAGCGATAATAGCTGGCGGCGCGGTGGCACTTACGAACCCATTCCAAGTCGTTGAACGCTTGCAATCCACTAGCTTGCAGGCCGATGCGCGGTTGATTCTAGTATCGGTAACAACCAAGGGGATCGCTGATATTATCACTTCTTCCAGGGTGTATGTTGTGGATGATACGTTCATTCAAGGCCTAGAGTTTCAGTATTACTTATGGTGGGTCGCGGAGAGGTGTTGATATAGGCAATGATGACCTCTTGGGGAGTCCCCGTACCTATCACGCCCAGAGCATTGCTTCTCAACACAATTGAAATCCACGAGTGGCTTTTCATCATATGTGGATCCTATAATAATACCACTCGGGTGTTTGATATGATCGCCCATAGCCAGCGGGGGCCATTATATCGAACGGGTGATTCGGTGAGCTAGAACAGCTACGGCAGATTGAAATGATAGCGCGTGGGGCTTTTTTTGACCTGAACAACTTCTCAATATTGAATTATCCAGTAGTGTTTCTCGAGGTCAGGTCGGGTCGGGTCGATTCATGGTCCGCCCCGCCAACCGCAACTTCTGCCATGACGATTACGTCGAAGCTATACTGCCACGTTTTTCTCTGGGTCTTCACCACAACATTCGAACGAATATCTATTATCCATTACGCGATCGAAAGTCACGTGGTGATTTCCCTTATCAGAAGCTCAGCCTCAACAATAATACAATAATCTCAGTCCAAAATCAAGACCGCTGATTCCCGGCCGATTAAGAAAAAAACCTCCGTATAGTCAAACCCCGTCCAAACCCCGTTCAGATCCCGTTGTTGTAAATCCCAATCACTTTCGAAGAATTCGTGCTGAATTGTGTGAATTCTTTTACCATAAAGATTGCCAAGGCTGCCGAATTCGGCTTAGTCCCAAACTTACCTTTATGTATAATTCTCTTAATTCTACGGAACGTTATTGGCTGAGCCATATATTCCGCCTTTTTCGTCGGGATTCTGCCGGTTTCAAGCACCAAAAATAAGATTACATAATCCAAAAATGACATGCATGTCAACGTAAAATGCCAACCTCGGAATACCCTCACTTTAGACAGCCTTTAGCTCTCTCCAACGATCCTTTGATTTCAACGGGGTTTGACTGTTACCCTATACCTTACCATTCTTCCCCATTCCCCCATTCTCCATCCCCCCATTCTCCATCCCCCCATTTCCCCCATTTCCCCATTTCCCCTTCCCCACCGGCAGTGTCACCGGGGAGATGTTAGCCCGCGTACGGAGACATCGATGATCACATTTTAGGCCCACTAGCCCCTCTTTTCGGCCTTCGGTCTGCAATAGGAGGTGTTTGGCCTTTTGTATAAAAAAAAAAGGGTGAAACATACGCAGGATGTAGAGATAAACTCATAAACTGTAAGGACGCACTTGTACCATCTCGGAAGTTCGGCCGGGATGAATATGTCAAAGATCATCTACTCGGCCTTAGCCCGAGAGAGGACATCGGCGCCAAGCCCGATAGATGGAGCTATTGCAGAAGACTGAAAAACCAGGTAATACTAGCCATATGACTTACATATGGGGCAATTGACATAATTTACATGTACACTGTCAATCATTCGCCAGTCAAAATGTGAAGAAACCGGCGGTATAGCTGTCTCGGCAGGCGGTAACTACGATCAAGGGGTTTCCGAGTAATTAACCTACAGAACCGTGGAAGGTTGGAAGCTCCAACAGCAGACGGACCAATCATAAAAGGACAATACAAAGGGTCCATGAGAAAAGTGGACAAAAGTGGACAAAAGTGGACTTGGGTGTGTAGTACATGTATTGACCCCGCAAGAAAGTCAAAAACCAAGGACACACGTTGTGTCAAGTATAAGTTACAGCATATAAAGACCTTGGAGATTCCCTCGGCTTTCTCTTTCTTGCATCTATTTGTGATACCCTGTGCAACCATGTCCCTCTACACTACCATTAAGACTCCCAATGTCACTTATGAACAGCCTCTTGGCCTGTACGATTTACCCCCTGATATCAATGATCACTTCGCTAATTGGTTCCTGCTTCTAGGTTCATCAACAACGAGTTCGTCAAGAGTGTTGACGGCAGGACTTTCGAGACCCTAAACCCCACCACCGAAAAGCCCATCACCTCCGTCTATGAGGCTTCCGAGAAGGATGTCGACATCGCTGTCAAGGCTGCCCGTGAAGCCTTTGAGGGTCCCTGGAAGAAGGTGACCCCCTCGGACCGTGGTCGTATGCTGACCAAGCTGTCCGAGCTCTTCGAGCGTGATATGGAGACCCTGGCTTCCATTGAGGCCCTCGATAACGGCAAGGCCGTCACTATGGCCAAGGTCGATATTGCCAATGCGGCTGGCTGCCTACGCTACTACGGTGGCTGGGCCGACAAGATCACTGGCCAGACCATTGACACTAATTCCGAGACTCTTTCCTATACCCGCCACGAGCCCGTTGGTGTCTGTGGTCAGATCATCCCCTGGAACTTCCCTATTCTTATGTGGGCCTGGAAGATTGGTCCCGCTATCGCTGCCGGTAATACTGTGATCATTAAGACCGCTGAGCAGACCCCTCTTTCTGGTCTATACGCCTCTAAGCTTATTGTTGAGGCTGGCTTCCCCCAGGTGTTATTAACGTTATCTCCGGCTTCGGTCGTGTTGCTGGTGCCGCTATCTCGAGCCATATGGACATTGATAAGATCGCCTTTACTGGTTCTACCCTTGTCGGCCGTATGATCCTACAGGCCGCTGCGAAGTCTAACCTAAAGAAGGTTACTCTAGAGCTGGGTGGCAAGTCCCCCAACATCGTCTTCGAGGATGCCGATATTGACAACGCTATCTCATGGGCTAACTTTGGTATCTTCTTCAACCACGGCCAGTGCTGCTGCGCCGGTTCTCGCTTGTTAGTCCAGGAGAGCATTCACGATAAGTTTGTGGCTCGCTTTAAGGAGCGTGCTGCCCAGAACAAGCTCGGCAACCCCTTCGAGGGTGACACCTTCCAGGGCCCTCAGGTTTCGCAGCTTCAGTTTGACCGTATCATGGAGTACATCAACCACGGCAAGAAAGAGGGTGCCACTGTCGCTTTTGGTGGTGAGCGCCACGGTACTGAGGGCTACTTCATCCAGCCCACTGTTTTTACCGACGTCACTCCCGATATGAAGATCGCCCAAGAGGAAATCTTCGGCCCTGTTATCGCCGTTACCAAGTTCAAAGATGAGGCCGATGCCATTCGTATTGGCAATGGCACCAACTACGGTATGTATTATTCATATTCATGGTGAAACTATGATTTGTCGTTCTAACTGTATCCAGGTCTCGCTGCCGCCGTCCACACCAAGAACATCAACACTGCCATCCGCGTTTCTAACGCTCTTAAGGCTGGGTATGTCATATCTTCATTATTTACTGCTGTAACAAAGCTAACTTTACTGCAGTACCGTGTGGATCAACAACTACAACATGATCTCTTACCAGGCTCCCTTCGGTGGCTTCAAGGAGTCCGGCATTGGCCGTGAGCTCGGGTCATATGCTCTTGAGAATTACACCCAGGTCAAGACTGTGCACTACCGCCTAGGCGATGCTCTGTTCTAAAATGGCCAAGAATATAAGAAATTTCATCTGGGTGATTGAATGTAATGAAATGATGATACGTGATTGGAAATTTTCGTTTTGTATAGAGTCCAAATTGAAGAACATTGGTTCCTCAACTGCTTTTCCGATACCTCGTAGGACTTCTACATTTGATTATGCGCTATGAAGATCCTAAATAGTCCCTTTTGATTGCCAGGACTATTACATACAACCAGTAAAATCCAGGTGTTTCATAGTATCATTATCAAGCTAAGTGAGCAAGCACACCAGACCAGCCTAAGCAACAGCGGTTTATCCCTGGGTCCTTCTGTGTAAACCTCCTTCCTATCACCTTCGGCCCTTGCTATCGTGTTCGATGTTCCAGGTACTTGTTGAAATGACTGAGTGAACTGGGCATCGGGCCGAGGATCCACATGCGGAACGAACAGTCAAAACTCCATTTCCTGCCAGACAGATAGATAGTCTTAAGCAATACACAACATGAAATGACAGCCAAGATCATTGTTCCCATACTCAGTAATCTAAACATCAACAAATCTAAACATCAACAAATCTAAACATCAACAAATCTAAACATCAACAAATCTAAACATCAACAAATCTAAACATCAACAAATCTAAACATCAACAAATCTAAACATCAACAAATCTAAACATCAACAAATCTAAACATCAACAAATCTAAACATCAACAGTCCTTCCGCTGGTTCCATTTGGTATGTAAGACTCTTCCTCACCATCTCCAGCCCTTGGCATCACGTCTGAGATCATTCGCCAGATCAGGTAGGTACCTATCGTCATTCGAGGAGATCAAAGCCAGAGAAAAACTCGCGAAGTTGATTCGAGTCCATTTTGTGTCTTTTGTGTCCGTGTCAACACGCTCGGCCCATTTGAATCCGGAGATTTTCCTAAATTCCATTAGCTTGAGATTGCAAGAGAATTTGTAGGACATACACATCAAGTGTGGCCTTGTCCATGATGATCTTTGACGGATCCGACAAAATCGGCTCATAGCCGAACTTCAGAAGTTTCCTGGATCGAGTCAGCCGTAGATAAGCGACCATATTCAATGTGCTTAGTGACAAACCTGTATGCCTCTTCAAAATTCCAGCGGATTTTCTCCCGCGTCGCGTAGGGAAGAGCCCAGAACTGCTGGAAGTCAAGGGATTCGCCTTCCACCTGTTCCCATACTAGGTGGATGATATAACCACCCGGGACAATGTCATGTTCATCTTGTTGACCAATGCGATATCCAAGCAGCCGAGGAGTGACAGAGCATTCTTGCTCTGTGAGGAATTTCAAGGCTTCCAATTCCACATGATCACCTGGTGGACGGGCCTGGGGTTTCCGCACATCTGAATCCTCAAGTCGGGTACCATCAAGTGGGATCTGTTTGTAGATGCGCATGAAGGCCGTCTCGTTCCCGTCGCGACAATGATACTTTCCCTCAGTGAAAGCTGGACCCATGCCAACGGCCGAATCTTCTGGTGTGATGGGTGTTGGAAGCTCGCTTAACTTTTTGATGATGGTATTCCCGAAGGGGATAACGAGTAGCATCCGGGCCGTCCTCAAAGCCGGTAGTCATCTTTTTACCAGGCATATTGGGAAGAAAATGGATTTCAGCCATGATGAGCGTATACGGGGGATATTATGGAAGCTAATAAATGTCAAGAAATTGGGTGGAGATGAAGATGAAGATGGGAAAAGGGAAGAGGTTGGTTTGATGGAGGTGAGGATAAAGTCAACGGGAAAGTTGGTCCCAGGTACAAATTCTAGGGGATTGGCGTGACAACATTACATCACCACCTAGCTCAATATACAAACATCTTGATGAAAACAAGCCAAGCTAAAAGAAAAGCATTATGCTCCAACTGCGCCGATCGTGATTCCATTCGGCAGTTCAAGTCCGATTGGAAGTCCACACAGGAATTTGTCGGTATAGGTTGTCCCGCGCTTTGCGGCGAGTTTCTCTTCGATATCTCTATACATGTCATAGCTAGTTACTTGTCAGTATTGCCCAACACCTGAAGTCGATCGAACTCACGCATTCATTTCCTCTATTGTAAGGACCTTCTTCGCGTCTTCGACTTTATAGGTGGGAATATCTTTGTTGACGGAGAAACCTATACGCTAGTCAGAAAATAAAGCACCACAACACCCGTTGAATGAAATCCACTCACCAATCCGCTCGTTGATATTGTAAGCCGCCTTGGCCGCTGCTGCCTGCACTCTTGTAACCCGAGGCAGACGTACCTCCTGGTAAACAGCGAGGGCTTGGGTAATATCCCCAGAGAAATAACGCTTACCAAATAAGATTCCAAGTGCTGCCGCATCTTCAATAGCCATGCAGGCTCCTTGGCTTTGATGAGGCATCATCGGGTGTGCAGCATCCCCCAAGAGACAGGTGCTACCGCGTTGAAGATACGGGTACGGGTCATGGACCCAGAGACGCCATGGTTTGATCTCTGTCCCAATCTTCAAATGGTCAAACACTTGTCGGTCTAGTTCTGGGTATGGGGCGAGAAGTTCCTCAACAGGGCGGTCTTCCGCCCCCCATGCCTGTGTTGAATAGTCGCCTTGCTCACGTGGGAAGAAGCAGTAGTACGACAGAAGCTCACCACCGTTACAGGGTGACAGAACAATCTTATCCCATTTTCCTTCCTGTCCACTCCAGTACTCCAGTGCGCTATCTTCGGCGTAGTTCACCAGGCCGAGCCTGATGGCATCCTCGGTTTTGACATTGGTGTGCAAGCAGCTCTGATCGGAGGCTCGCTTTTCTGGCGTAATTCCAATGATTCCTCGAACGGCCGACCCGATTCCATCTGCCCCCACGATTAGGTCGTGGCTTACAACCTCACCGTTCTCGAAGACGACCGTACTCGTCTGCAGATCGATATCGCGGCACTAGATCCCAGGCAACATTAGCACATGCTCAATTTTCAGACAGCTTCCAGTGATGACTGTACCCGGTAGTTCACTTTGAGAGTTGCTGGCGCTCCTTCACCCTCGCCCAGTGCCGAATCCTTTAGCATGGCATGCATATATTGGCGATGAAACATGTTGTAGACATATCCCCAGCGCTTCTCATAATCGTCGAGGTCGTACACACTGACGGGCTCGCCCGTATTCCAGTCACGGTTGATAAGCTTCTTCAAAACCACCGGGTCACCCTTGGCGATATCCACGTTCCACTCGTGTAGCCAGCGGGTTCCATTGGCAGCACACGAAACCGAAGCGCCGACTTCACCTGCGAAGTCCGACTTTTCGTAGATGGTCACAGTGTGTCCTGCCCGACGTAAGGCAACTGCAACGGACATTCCCCCGATGCCCCCGCCAATAACGCCGACATTGAGACTCCTCCAGCCTGGCATGGTGAATATAGATAAATCAACAAAACGGGGTTTGAGACGGGTTGAAGTGAAGCAGAAAGATGTGAGTGTCAAGTTAAATATATAGCAAATTGTTTCTCATATTAATTTCTTATCTTCTCATATATACTTCACAGGTCCCGAGCCTACATCGGCTGGCGGATAGTGCACTCGGGTCACCGCGGGCCGCGCACTAGCGCTTATCTTCGGCTCAACTCAAAAACAGCGTTATCCGATCAAAGGATTCATTCACACGAAGGCTGAACGTAAAGTGGAAATTGAAAGAGGGAAAAACATACAACAGTGAGGACACCCTATACAGCGCAACTAAGATCCCAGGGGTGGGAAATCTACATCACATTTAGGTCGTTCTACCTACTTGCCAAAGCTTTCCATTCTCAGCCTGGTCACTTTCTGAAGGGCACCAATACAATTCTGAAATAGGATTCAAATGCTAACTAGCAGAGAGTCTTTAATTGATCAAATGCGACCGGTATGTAATACTAGTTATGGCTCAACTGTACGAAGGAGCTGGGTTGAAAATTCTATTCATTTTGTTCTATCGCCGGCAAGCCAGGTGATCCCTAGCTTCGTCTCTGAATAGCTTCATGGTGCAGGTCATAGTACGGCTAGAAGTCATGTGATAGGTATTAATACCATATGGATACCATAGCAAATTACACAACCAGAAATATCGCTCAAATGGCGCTATACCCGAAGTAGCTTTTAGGTAGGTGGAAATTCATTATCCAACGTCATGGAGAGTGAGCAATGATGCAAGTGAGAGATTTCAGGGCTTTAGAAACTAGCTTTGCCCAGCCCACTGTCATGATTCATAAAAGGAATTCTTGATTGTAGGTCGAGATAGGTTGAGGTTGGGTTGGAATCTATGGTTTCAATAAGGTTTTTGATAATGAGCTGTTGCATTCTTCACATTTCTTGTCTAATTTATGCTTCTACAGTCCCTCTTCAGGCCGGAATGCCTTTTCGGTCCGAAATGAAGAGAAGACCCGAAAGGAATGAAGGGATCGGGAAACCGAGAATATCGGGATCGGACCCCAGGATAATAGGAGGAATCTTGGCTTCCCATACCATTGATATCATGATGGGAACAGCATACTTGTATGAGAATGCGTGGGGGTCGAATGCAGTACTAAATCAGGGCTGATATTGGATCTTCCATCTTTGGATCTAACACCTGAATACATTGCTAAAAGTCATTGTTCAACTGATATAGACCAGGCCTGATTTCTGCAGTCCTCTGAATGTGGTCGGTTAAAACTAATGATAATCAAGGCACATGATAGCCTTCGAATAAGATCTACTATAACATTATTGTTTCTATAAGGGTGAAGACAAAGATAATAATCACAACCCTAACCTTAGAGGAATTTGCTCCATCTTACTTCCTATGCATCCCTCGCTTCGAAATACCAGAAATATATCACTCATGTTGCACTGAAATCCACCCCCACGCCGGGGTGCTCCTTACGTAGTCCTTAAATGCGCTTAAATACGAGGATACCCCACGCGGGGAGATGATCTTTTCTAAATGCAACCTCGTCCCCTGTTGCTTCTCCCCACAAAAAGCTTCTCCCCACAAATAGCCAGTAAATGATGATATGATCGGGGTAAGTCCGGGGTCTGGCATTACCCTGGTCTTTTGCAGGTTTTCTGCGGGGAAATATATTCGGGTGTACCGTCATATAACATGGGTTTGATTGGAATAGCAGTTATAGCCCAGCAAGTTTTGGGCATTGCTCCTTATGCCATACTGCTCTCGGACCACTAGATATCAACGCCACATATCTCACCCCTGTAGAGGATTCCACACAACTCGCAACTCGTCCGACTTCCGAGTCTCACTTTCCACGTGTGATTTTTTTCTTCTTCTCCCTCCTTATACCCCTTGCCTCCTCTGGTATCTTCTTATCGACTTTGGCTCAGACTTTTATATGAATTAGCTGGTGTAGTCTTGCTACTTATTTATCCTTCTCTCATCTTCCTCATACTTCCCTCTTCTCACATTGGAAAAGCAAACAGAAATGTCTCCCAGAAACTCAGACATCGGAGTAGGAGATATTGACAAGTCTCGCGTCGACAATGTCGAAATAGTCGCCAATGCCGACAGGCCCAACCCACAGAAAGAAGCCCCCGAATACGTTGCCAACCTAACGCCCGAAGAACGCATGAAGGCCGAGAAAGCTCTCGTCCGCAAGATTGACCTGCGTCTACTACCCATGATAATCATCATGTACATTCTCAACTACCTCGATCGTAACAACATCGCCTCCGCTCGACTAGCAGGCCTCGAGGAAGACCTAGGGCTTGTGGGCAACCAGTTCGCGACCTGCGTCAGCATATTGTTCGTCGGTTATCTGTTGATGCAGATCCCATCCAACCTGATGCTGAACAAATTCGGCAAGCCAGCCCTCTACCTCCCTATTGCTATGGTTATCTGGGGTATCATTTCCACCGCTACAGCCGCTGCTCAAAGCTACACCGGTCTCGTGGTCATTCGCTTCTTCCTAGGTTTCGTCGAGGCTGCCTACTTCCCAGGCTGCTTGTACTTCCTGAGTGTTTGGTACACCCGCAAGGAGTTGGGCTTCCGCACCGCAGCGCTGTTCTCTGGATCCCTGCTCTCGGGTGCTTTCTCGGGTCTGATCGCAGCAGGCATTACTAAAAACATGGACAACGTGCTCGGACTGCGCGCCTGGCGATGGTTATTCATCATCGAAGGTGCCGTCACTATCGTGATTGCCTTCATCTCAATCTTCGTTCTCCCTAATTTTCCCCGCACGACCAGCTGGCTTTCAGAGGAAGAGAAGCAACTAGCCGTGTGGCGTCTGGAAGAAGACATCGGCGAAGACGACTGGGTCGACAGCGAACAGCAGACCTTCCTGCATGGAGCCAAGCTCGCCTTCGCAGACATCAAGACCTGGATCCTGATGCTCATGATCCTCTGTATTGTCTCCTCCGCCTCAGTCACCAACTTCTTCCCAACAGTCGTCAAAACACTCGAATACGGCAACATCGAGACTCTACTCCTGACAGCACCGCCCTACTGCCTGGCCGTCATCTGCGCATTTACCAACGCATGGCACGCAGACCGTAGCGGAGAGCGGTACTTCCACGTCACCGGGCCGCTATACATTTCCGTCGTGGCATTCATCATTGCTGCCACCACCA